TTGATGAGTCAAGTAACCACGGAGGCTTACATGCTGCAGACACTTATTATATAGCCTCTTTCTTACTATCAGAAGCTTCAGACAGTAATCTCAAGAATGACAAAAACGTCTGAATTATATGCCTCTTTATTCCTAGAATAGCTCTTTCAAAGTTTCTGATCAAACCCCAGTGAACCTTAACAGGCAGAGCTCTCATCATGCATCACTGACAAGTTCAGGGACAACAATGGCTTGTTCAGGCATGTGGCCGCTGTTCTTCTCAGACGTTGGTAGCGGATTTCCAGACACGAAGGCCTTGAAGAGCTCAAGAGACTGCTTCGGTCTGTGCAGAGGTACTTCATGGCCTGCACCTCTCACTGTAACGAAGTTCAATCCTGCGTATTGCTGGGTCCAGCCTGCGACCTGTTTGTTTAAATAGTTTCATTTCATACATAAATGGTTTTTTAAATCTTGGCTTGGAGAAAGAAAGATTCTTTGTCGCTTAAATTCACAGAATCTGCATTCATGAGCATGGAGATTACCTGTCCATCCATGTACCATGAATACCATGGGCTCAGAGGACGAAGGTTGAGAGCCTCTATGCTGTAACGGGTTGCTGTGACCGGTACAACAGCATCAGCATCTCCACTGTTACAAAGAACCGTACTTTAAGGCACCAATTCTTGAATGGCAAGAACTAAAGTGGGAAAAAAAGGAATGTCTTTTTGTTCATCTTCCATGGTGTTCTTTTCATGAGGAGAAGCTGGAAGCAGAGATGGACAGATAGAAACCTGAAAACCCAGATACGAAGTCCAGCGGCTATAAGCTCGTGGTAAATGTTCAGAACCGAGGGTGGAGAATCAATCCAGTGTTCACTCACGGTATCACTGCAATGCAATGCAATACAATCTTGGTCAGAGCTTCATAGAAAAAAAAAACAAAAAAAAAAATTGATACCGGGTATTGGCTATTCACTGACTTAACTTATCCAACATCAGCTCTTTCATCTGAAAAATGACAAAACCTAGAAATAACGAAACTTGTTCTACGGACATGGAAGATGGGGTTGTACCTGCAAATGTCCCATTTGGATGGTGCAAATTCGGGTGGGACGTGGAGGGCCTTTTGAACCTCTGGAGGATTGAAGTACACTCTAGAGTGCTTCTCTGTGCAAGGATCATACTCTTCGCTGACACGGCCGAATATCTATCAAGCCATATATCGAATCACACATCATACCAGATACAATCTCAGGGCAAAACCAAGATTGAAAATTGGAGAATAAAAGGACACAGAATATGCTCACAGGTCTTTTCTTTAGCAACAGTTTTGACTGGGAGACGTTTGCAGGGCATGTTGGGGTGAAGACAATGTATTGGTCGACAGGAAAAAGCTATTAACATTAAGGGTTACATGGTGAGAACATTCTCTTATCAAAGTCATGTGGCATGTGTTATGTCGTGACAGCGTTAACTCAGAAAGATTTCGATCATTGTGCACTTCAGGTAGGAAATGGCCTGATGGATGATTTCCATGACCACCGAGGTCTTTTCCAATATATTTGGTCACTGGGTTTTATCTCTGACCAGACACACAACCTCCTGAATCTTTCCTGCGGGTTAGAGTCATTTGTTCACCCGTCCGAAGCGTGTCAGAAGGTTCTGGATACTGCAGACAAGGAAATGGGAAACATCGACCAATACAGTGTCTTCACCCCAACATGCCCTGCAAACGTCTCCCAGTCAAAACTGTTGCTAAAGAAAAGACCTGTGAGCATATTCTGTGTCCTTTTATTCTCCAATTTTCAATCTTGGTTTTGCCCTGAGATTGTATCTGGTATGATGTGTGATTCGATATATGGTTTGATAGATATTCGGTCGTGTCAGCGAAGAGTATGATCCTTGCACAGAGAAGCACTCTAGAGTGTACTTCAATCTTCCAGAGGTTCAAAAGGCCCTCCACGTCCCACCCGAGTTTGCACCATCCAAATGGGACATTTGCAGGTACAACCCCATCTTCCATGTCCGTAGAACAAGTTTGGTTATTTCTAGGTTTTGCCATTTTTCAGATGAAAGAACTGATGTTGGATAAGTTAAGTCAGTGAATAGCCAATACCCGGTATCAAATTTTTTGTTTTTTTCTATGAAGCTCTGACCAAGATTGTATTGCATTGCATTGCAGTGATACCGTGAGTGAACACTGGATTGATTCTCCACCCTCGGTTCTGAACATTTACCACGAGCTTATAGCCGCTGGACTTCGTATCTGGGTTTTCAGGTTTCTATCTGTCCATCTCTGCTTCCAGCTTCTCCTCATGAAAAGAACACCATGGAAGATGAACAAAAAGACATTCCTTTTTTTCCCACTTTAGTTCTTGCCATTCAAGAATTGGTGCCTTAAAGTACGGTTCTTTGTAACAGTGGAGATGCTGATGCTGTTGTACCGGTCACAGCAACCCGTTACAGCATAGAGGCTCTCAACCTTCGTCCTCTGAGCCCATGGTATTCATGGTACATGGATGGACAGGTAATCTCCATGCTCATGAATGCAGATTCTGTGAATTTAAGCGACAAAGAATCTTTCTTTCTCCAAGCCAAGATTTAAAAAACCATTTATGTATGAAATGAAACTATTTAAACAAACAGGTCGCAGGCTGGACCCAGCAATACGCAGGATTGAACTTCGTTACAGTGAGAGGTGCAGGCCATGAAGTACCTCTGCACAGACCGAAGCAGTCTCTTGAGCTCTTCAAGGCCTTCGTGTCTGGAAATCCGCTACCAACGTCTGAGAAGAACAGCGGCCACATGCCTGAACAAGCCATTGTTGTCCCTGAACTTGTCAGTGATGCATGATGAGAGCTCTGCCTGTTAAGGTTCACTGCGGTTTGATCAGAAACTTTGAAAGAGCTATTCTAGGAATAAAGAGGCATATAATTCAGACGTTGTTGTCATTCTTGAGATTACTGTCTGAAGCTTCTGATAGTAAGAAAGAGGCTATATAATAAGTGTCTGCAGCATGTAAGCCTCCGTGGTTACTTGACTCATCAATATATGGATACTGAATATTATTTCGGTTCGGATTTAATAAAAATGTAATAAACTATTTTACAAATTAATCGTTTTTGTGCATTTTTTTCTAATTACTAACATTAATATATTTTTTTTTGGGGGGGGATCATTCCTGCGCAAAGCAGCTATCAGATTGGTGTAGGTTACGTTATCAGGCACTATCCCCTTCTCCCTCATCTCCTTCACCAACCCAACAGCTTCTTCGACCATTCCAGCAATCCCGTATGCCTTTATCAGTGTGTTATAGCTGCACAGGTCGGGACCGATTCCAGATTCCTTTAGCTCTCTCAGCACCTCTGTAACTTCATCGATCCATCCTTTCTCTCCGTAGATATTGATCATGATGTTGTAAGTGTAATGATCTGATTTGCAGCTAGTTTCTTTCATTCTCTTCAAGACATTCCTGAAGTTCTCCATTTGATGATCCTTCCCATATGCATTCAACATAGAGTTATAAGCCTCGAGGGACACTGAGAAGCCATCAAACTGCATGTTCCGAACTGCTGATGACATGTTTGTGAAATCCTTGCTCTGTCCATAGGCGGCTATGATGGTGTTGTAAGAGATGACATCCACTAGGCCGTGCCTTCTGGCTAATAAGAAAACAGACTTTGCCTTCTTGAAGAACCTGGCTTTTCCATATACATTAAGCAAGACATTGAATGTGATGGTGTTGGGAATAAACCCTCGTTGAATCATCTCATCGAAGATTCTGGTGAGTTCATCGACGGGCAGAGCACGGGAACAGCAGTTTATGACACAATTGTACATCTCTTGATCCCATATGACTCCACTCTTCCGGATTTTGTAGTACAGATGCTCGAGTTTATCCTGCAGGCCACACTTTTGATATATCCGAAGCATATCACGGAACAAATAAACATCTGGAACAATGTCCTTGTGCTTCTCTTCCATGATCTCGAGAACAGAGCATGCATCTTCCAAGGAACCCGCTTTCAAATACATCCGAACCACAATACTGAAGGCAATCCTGTCCAAGATAACTTCAGAAGATTTCATCTTTAAATACAGCTTCTCTGCTTCACCAAATTCACCCATGATAGTGTAAATGTCGATCATTGTGGATGTGATGTGCAGATTAATCTTGTCCTCAGAATCCTTCGTCTGGTTGTATATCTTCACAGCATCGTCAAGTTGACCGAACTCTTTGCACGAGCAGATCAACAAATGATACAAGTGGGCCTCAAACGCCGGGTCTCTCCACTCTTTCTCTCGCAACAATGCCAAGCAATCATCGACCATAGCATGTTTGATATAAGCCATAACCAGCATCGAGAAAGAAGTCTGGTTTACACGGATATGATTAAGAAAAGAGCCAGTGAGAACACAAGGCACATCATCGATCTTTCCAACCTTCTCATAAGCCTGCAGAAGGATCCCAAGAATCGAGGAAAGTTGGCATCCAATGCGTATCATATCTTCAACTGTTCTAATAGCACCATCTTTGTCTCCATACTTAGCTTGTAAGTTGATCAATGTGTAAAGGTTTGATGAATTGGGTTTATACCCCAACCTCTTGAGTTCTCCGTAGTACCATTTCGCCTCCTTGTAATTTCCAGCTCGTCCCCACCCTTCAATCATTGACCTGTAACTTGTTTCATCTGGCTCCAACCCAACATCATGGAGATTCTGGAATATACGATTCGCATCTGCCACATTAGAGTTCTTCCCACAACCGGTAATTAAAGTATTGTATGCGATGATATTTGGACCAAACCCTGCCGCTTCCATGGAGGCCAATACAGATTCAGCTTGCTCCAGTTTGCCCTGTTGGCTATAAGCATTAAGCATCACCAACCAATTCTCTAGATTCAGCTTCACTCCATCTTCCCTCATGAAGTCAATAACGTCCTCTGCTTTATCATATAACCGCAAACGTGTGTAAATTGTTATCATTGCTGAATAAGCAGATTCACATGTTATCCCATGGATTCTCATACGAGAAAATGCAAACTCTGCATCTTCGAGATTCCAACTTTTCTGATAAAGACCCATCACCATACCAAGGGTAGCCGCATTTGGCTGAACCCCAAGATCCAACATCATCCTAAACCACTTTGAACCTAAATTTACAAGACCCTTTTTAGAACACGCATATAAAACTGTGTTGAAAACCTGAAAATTCTGCTCACTGCCCTGAAAACCACACGCTTCCTTGATCAAGGCCTCGGCTCTGTCCCATTCTTCTCTCCTACTCAAAACTCGGAGAATCAAATTATAAGCACCCGTATTTCCTTCTAATTTCCCATTGCTCCTCATCCAGTCGAAAAACTGCAAGGCATTGTTATCACTGCATCTTTCCAGTTTTTTCAAGATAGCATTACAATGCTCCAAACTCAACCCAGGCCTAAGAGCTGAGTAGTTAACATCCAACTCCCTACCTTCCACAAAGATATTCTCCGGTTCAAGTTCACTTCTTTCGCTTCTGAAACTAAGCTTTAGACCCACATCCTTCGTTTTCCCTCTCTTTGCACTCTTCAACGTCTTTCTACTATTCACTTTTGGACTTCGGTTTCTCTCCACAGCAGCAGCTCCATGTACGGAATCGTTTTGGTCAAGGGAATCAATGGCATTGTTGGTTTCGTTAGCTTCAGTCTCGAGACGAGAGACTCTAATTTGCTTAACCCTGATCAAAGAACCAATTATACAAGCTCTAGTGGCGTGAATACAACTGGCTATCGAGAAAATTGGAAATTGATCAGGAAACTGATATGGGTTCGCCGAAAAATGGAACCTTTTTGGATCAAATTGGTCCACGGGAATGGACAATCTTATCGAACCCATGAAAGCTAGCTATCAAAACATCTACCTACACACCATGAAAAAACACACCAAAAGTTCCAAATTTTTCGAATTATCCAATCTATATTCAAACCTGAGATTGGTGGAGAGACTATAACGCTGCCTAAAGAGACGAAATGAGCAGAACAATTCGCACACTTTATGCGAGATTATCAGAAGATTGGAACAGAGCAAGAAGAAGCTGTGTAGCAAAGATAACAGCTTTTGTGTTGTGGGTTTTCTTTCTTTTTATTTTTTCTGTTTCGGAGCAGTGCTTCCAAGGGAGAAGAAGAAAGGTCTAGTCGTGGCGGTCCTGTTGGTAATTTCTGGATACACTAGGGGTAGAAGGGGCATTTAATAAAAGAGCTTGCGCTGCCAGAGAATGCCAATCCAGGACCGGATCGAAGATTGTACTACGACAGCCACTCAAAAAGGACAACCAACCAATCTTCGGTTCCCCAAGACAGTGACTTCAACAGACCATATCAATGGAGAAAAACATTACAGCTTGTTATGCTCAACTGAACGAATCAGCAACTAAACTTGGCGTTCATTAGTCTATTTCTTGATGTTTCGCGTATGTAGTTTGAAAGCTTAAATCTACATAAAGAACAAGATAAGCGAGAAAAGATATCATAAAGAAGGCCTTTCTTTCATGCAAAGGCCACAAAATCCTTTACACGACCAGAGTCATCAGAGACAACAAAGATAACTCTATCACAGTTAAGAAATCGTTGTCCTTTGTATTTTAACACTGAGAAATCTGTGACATTATGTTCTCTGCATAAGAATCAAACCCAGATGCTTGCAAATGCCTCTTCAAGTGCCCTCCTTTTGCTTATCTCTATTGAGAATCCTCCAGCCCGAGGACCTCTCTCAGCCTTGAGTTTCATCATTTCCTCATCTTCAAAACCAAAAAGTTGATGTTCCGGCCCTCCTCCAATAGGCACTGGTTGTGGACCCATTCCCATTGGCCGTGGTGGCTGACCCCCAGAGGCTGCAACCGTCAAGCCCTGGTTTGATGACTACAAGATGTAAATCAGGCAAAAGTTTCAGCTTTGGCATATTATTTGTAAATGTGGATTTAGTTCAAGAAGTTATGTAACCAGGTGGATGATGATCAAACCCTGATTACCATATCTGAATCCGTCTGTGTGGGTTGGCCTTTGCAAGCTGCTATGGCTGCAGCTAACTCTTCAGCCTTCCAAACAAAAAAACTGTCAAACTTGGGAATATGCCAAAGAGCAATTACGCCAAAGATGAAATGAAGGGGTACCATTCTAGTTTCATTAATACACTCTTTAACACTGCATATTCCCCACTAAGGTTTATTTTCATCACTGTACATCGTTTTTTGGATCACCTTTCACAACTGTATGTCTATAATCTTAATTCAATCACTATTCCTTGAAATTTTATGTGAATAACATTCTTCTGCAGAATCAAAACTGGGATTTTCTTAGTCTAGTTACATGTTTTTCACCTTCCGTATACATTTTTCATTAAGGAGAGTTTATGACTTTTCCACAGAGAAAGGAAAATCGTATAATGGAATAATGAATTGCTGAAATATGTGTCTATTCTTTCTTTGTTGTCTTCGACCATTCAGCTTGATCATCCTCATGTAGGAAACCAAGTAAAGACAAATTATTATCAGCGTTACCTTGCGGGCTCGATTAATCATAATCTGTTCAGCATTCTCTTGAGAGTACTTCTTTATTTTTTCTTCTATTGCATCGACATTTATTCCTACATTCCTCAATCTCATGTTAATGAGAAACTACTCCCATTCAGTTAACTTAGTTAATATAAATTGCTTCTTGATGATCATCTCGATGTTCAACCGCAGCAATCCCTTTATGATAATCTACTAATCTATATTCATATAATGAATCCTATACTTTAAGTCAAAACATGACTGAATTGCTTAACTAAGTGCGGTCAACAACAATTTCTATGCATTTCTTCCCACATTTACGAACACGGTGATGGAAAAAAAATATTGCATGAACATCAACAAAGGCAGGTATATAGAGAGTAGAAGGGGATCAGAAAGAAGAATACATCTCAGAAATTCTCCTTCTCATACTTATTTCCTTGCTGTGAGGGTTGGAATTAGACACCATCACCATGATTTGTGCTGATTCAGCTTCCTGCCTGGTTCACTAAGAGGTTCGTGCATGAGTTGAACAATCTCTAGCTCAATTCAAAGGATAGCAAATGAATCCGTTAACCAATTCTCAGCCTGAGAGTTTTCGCACACCTCTCTTCAACCAGTTAGAAAATAGTACCACAGATCTTGGAAAGGATACCCGGGATGAAAGTGACACAGCTATCAGATTCCACCTCTCAATAAACGTAGTAACACTCACTGAATCCACATTGTAAAGGCTGGTTCATTCACTACCAATGTCAGGAAACAACCTTAGTTCGAAAAAGCGCGCCTGGGGCGCGCCTAGGCGGTGGATGCGCAGATGCGAACCCAAAATTGCATCCTGAACCCTAGGCGATGCGATTTGCAGGAGGCGGCCGGAGGCGGAGGCGTGCGCCTCTGGTAGTAAGGCGGTTAATGTAAAAAAACTAGGTTTAGGTAGAAGACGAAGAGAGCAGAAGCGAGGGAAAGTGGGTGAGTGGGAGAGAGAGATGGATGATAGGCACGTGGGTGTGTGAATAAAAAATAGGTCTAGCCAGACATCTCACATCGTGAGATGTGCCAATTATTATATCAATTTTTTAATTAATTTATATATAAGATTTAAATAAAATTAATTATTTTATTATCAATTATAAATTAAAATTAATAATAATACAGAACTAAATTTATATATATGTTAAAACCATAATTGAAAATCATTTTATTTTTATAAATAAATTATTAATTTCTTTATCAAAACAAATAATATTTATATATCACCCTAAAATTATTTTAACATTCATATTAGTCAAAATTTTAGATTATAATTTAATTATAATAAATATAAATTAATTACGTTGAATTAACATATAGTTGATTCAAACAATTAAATAACAATTCTATTGTTAACTATGCATTCTATTATTTAATAATGCGTCTCGCGCCTCACGCCTCGGATTTTAAGACCCTTTACCGTCTCAGTTGCGTCTCGCGCTTTTTACAACCAAGGAAACAACTATCATATCCTTAACCATGACTAAATTCAATCACGAATGGCATTAGCTAGAGATTCATATTACAGCCGCAAGAAGCGAGAAAATGCTATTCTTCACAACAGGAACTCCCACTTGCAGCATCAACATCCTTCACCATTTTGTGAAGAATGATAAAGAAAACTCCAGATCCCTAGAATTTCTTGTAATCTCGTTGTGATAACATTTTCAGTGAAACCCAATTTTCTGTTACCAATAAGAAGATGGATACCAACATTACGTCTCTGAGTTACTAAAATATACGTTCAAGTACCGTAAATTTATCATTCGACCCAAAGGAATAATCAATAACAAATGGCAAAATGAAAACCCTAATCGAGTAATCAGAACCCAATAACGAAATCGAGAAAAAATATATTTCTAGAATTCAGATTTCGTTCACCTGTGAAGCTAAAAGGATTTGGTCTCGGCAGAGAAGAAGTCGAGCCGCTTCTGTCAAAGGATCCCAATTTTCTAGAGAGAAGAAGAAGAAGAAGAAGAAGAGAAGCGGAGAGGGATTTCGCCAGATAAGACAGATGAATGTCGTTAGTTAACGCCGTTATGTTGACCCTGTCGATTCGTGGATCAAATATGCGGTCCAATAAGAGACTCAAGTTGGACGTTCGTCACTGTTTTCTTTATTTATTTATTTATCGTTTTTATTTTTTCTCTAAACATAATTAAAATTTGAATATTTTTGAAATTATAAAACAATTAATTTACTAACTATACAAAAAAAAATTACAATCACTATTCGTTTTTTCCATACCAAAACTATCTTTAGAAATTTCTTTGTTCATTTAATATTTTTTCTATTATTTTTCTTCCACTCATTTTTTTTAATATCTTTCTTTTATTTATTTCGACGAACATTATCACACCATTTACTAACGACGAACAACATAGAAAAATTCAATTTTTCTTACTTTTCTAGAGAAAAATTTACTAAAAATGAGGACTAAATGTTTATCTATAAAATATAACTATAATTAAATATCCATCAGAAGATGGATAATCCTAAAAAATCTCACCTCTCATTATAGGGTTAGAGAATCGCAAATCCAGATGCGAAACAGAAGCTCCAAACCCAAGACGCTAATTTAGAACTTAAGCATAACTCGACATCAACCGAAACCTAACCTAACAAATGGAAGTTTATCGCGCACTGAAACATATTCGAACATAATTTTGCAGGAAAATTGAAGGAAAACTTTACCTCAGAACTGCGAAAGGCAGCTTCCGACCAATGTAGAAAATCTCACCAAAACCAAAGAACATATAATCCGATAAATTAACTATGCAACTCTGACAAAAAAAAAGATCTTTTTCTTGCTTCGCAGATAGCTAAGGTATAGGCTTCCGGTCCAGAGACTGAATTCTTCTCTTCGAACTCAGTGGCGAAGTCGAATCGAAGAAGAAGAGATAAAATTAAGGGGAAAATGGGGAGAAATTTCTTAATGTTTGGGCTTATAGTGAGGCCCAAATATTTTATCTAATTACAGTTAGACCCATAATAAAACTTAAATTATGTTTTCTTCTGATTATTTCCTTGTCTAGTTAGTTGTCCCTTTCGGTTCGGTATTCATCCGTGAAATAATATATTCGGTTCTATAATAATTATTATCTGTTCGGTTTTATTATATTAATACCAAATAAGAATCAAAATTTGATATTTACATATAAATTCATATATAATTGTTATAATTCGACCTTTTGTTTGGTATTAAACGGATTCGATTCGGTATTTATCAATTTGATTAAAATGATTTATTCGATTCTACGAAAACTATACTAAATTATTGATTTAAATCAATTTCGATTCGAATTGATTTAGAGCCGAATTGTGAAATTCCCACCCCTAACCACATCCCTGTACCAACTTCAAAAATAACACATATGTGATGTCATACTTTTACTTACTAATAAATATTCGGAATTATTTTATAATATTATCTTTAATCATAAATTGAAATGGGCCATATAATGGGCCTCAAGAGATAATACGGGGTTTTTTCTGAAAGAGGCCCAACATTCTCAACGAGGCCCAACCGTAGGTTTACGAAACCGAACATACATTTGGGAATTGGGATAGTTATGTCAATTTGCTTCTTTTTTTTTTGTTTAAGAAAAAATAGCACGATTGAATTGTGCAGCATGTATTAGATGAAATAATTAAAATAAGAAAAAAAATCAGCAGTTAAAATACGACCATATCCACATTAAGATACGGTTCATATTGTAATGATGGACAGGATCATGACAAAACCTAATTTTGGAGCACCAAGTTGTAATGATTTTTTTTTAAAATATAAAGTTTCATAATCATAGATTTAAATAAAACCAAAAGGGTAATTGCAGGGTTCTTGGTGGGCTATAGGGTTACACTACCCAATTAGAGTTAGCATCCATCCAATGGAGACAACTCCATATATATATAACACGCATATGAACTTTTTACTTTTTTATATGTATGAGAAGATAGATACATCATAATTGAATTGGAAGATTAGTGACGCACACAAAAAAGTTGAATTCATTTGAATTGTCACGTTCTTAAATTAAAATTTCAAACCAATTTAAACGATACAATGAAATAAATTATCCCCTAAAAAATCTAAAATTCTCCTACGTAACAAACTAATATTTCTACCCTTTTTTTGTCCATGTTGATACCATAAAATACTCAAATTTTTATTTAAAAATTAACTATAATTTTTTTATTCAACTAATAAAATCAAAATATTGGTCGAGATGTTTAAACAATTGCGTAGGATCTTATCAGCTAATTTTCATAAGTGTAATAAGATTAATCAGAATTTTACAAAGTAATTAAAAAAAAAGAGGTTGTATACAAAAAAAAAATGGATGATTTGGCCGACACTAATTTGGTATCACTGTTAATTTTTGTTCCATTAATGAAATTTTTTAATTAACCACGCATCATCCACTTATCTCGTTTTCGTTTCGATCCAATCCCGAAATGGTGGGCTATTAAATTAAATTAAACTAACAATTTCTATCCAAAATAAACACTATGATGGAGTTAAGCCTAAACAGGACACCTAGTTTGCTGACGTGTACACCACCATGGTACATACAACTAATGTATATGTACCTTCGTCATCCAAAAATTAAAATTAAAATAAGTGAAATCCTGCCAAAAAATTAAATTTAAACACGCGGAAATAAAACGGGAGGTGACGTGGGGAAGCCAAGTGGACACGCGTTCACACGTCATTGGTTGACTTTCACCGTCAAACATCACAGGCGCCAAAAGGTGCCGTTTCCTTTCCATCCCTTCAAACGGCAGTTAGGCACAACCAGAGAGATGTCTTGTTCTGAGTGCGCGCGCGTATATATATACACAGAGTCAAACAGCATTTGTGAGTTCGATCTTTTTCAGACATGTTCCAAGATTGACCCTTTGGTTTTTTTTTTCCCGTGAAAATGTATCTCTGCAACATTTTCTTGTCATTGTTCTTGTTCTCGATCGAGTTCATGATCGTTCTTTCGTCAGGAGAGGATAACAAGATGAAGCAGGATCGAATCTCATTACTTGCTCTGAAGTCAAACATTGTTTCAGATCCTCAGAACTTCCTGAGAAGCTGGAACTCAGCAGATGAACATGTCTGCAACTGGTCTGGCGTCAAGTGCAACAACGACAGCACCCGTGTCGTGCAGCTAGACATCAGCGGTCACTCGCTTCACGGACAAATCCCGTCTTCTCTCTCGAATCTTTCCGCTTTAACGGTTCTCGATCTTTCCAGAAACTTCTTCAGAGGCCAAATCCCACCGGAGATAAGCTCGTTAACAAAGCTGAAACAGCTAAGCCTCTCTGAGAATCTTCTCGAAGGAAACATTCCTTCCGAGCTGGGTTCGCTTCGTCATCTCGTGTATATCGATCTCGGAAGCAACCGTTTGACGGGCGAGATCCCGTTTCAGCTCTTCTGCAACGATTCTTCATCGCCATCTTCTTCTCTGCAGTATATAGATCTCTCTAACAATTCTCTAACCGGAGAAATCCCTCTGAAGAACGGGTGTCAGCTCGAAGAACTTCGGTTTCTTCTTCTATGGTCGAACAAGCTCGTCGGGCGAGTTCCTTTATCTCTTTCGAACTCGACGAACCTCAAATGGATGGATTTGGAATCCAACATGTTGAGTGGAGAACTGCCTTCTGAAGTCATAAGCAAGATGCCACAGCTTCAGTTCCTTTACCTCTCCTACAACCATTTCCTCAGCCACGACAATAACACTAACCTCAATCCCTTCTTCGAATCATTGGCTAATTCATCTAACTTGCAAGAGCTCGAGCTAGCGGGAAACAACCTCGGGGGAGAGTTGCCTTCCGTCGTAAGGCACCTCTCGGGGAGTCTTGTCCAGATTCATCTCGATCAGAACCGTATCCACGGCTCTATCCCACTCGAAATATCGAATCTGGTGAATCTGACTCTGTTAAACTTCTCCAGTAACCTCTTGATCGGTTCTATTCCACACGAGCTCTGTGAACTAAGGAAGCTAGAGAGGGTTTACCTATCAAACAACATGCTGACAGGCGAAATCCCTGCCGGTTTTGGAGACATTCCTCGTCTCGGTCTTCTGGATTTGTCTAGAAACAAGCTTTCTGGTTCGATCCCTGACAGTTTTGCCAATCTTTCTCAGCTGAGAAGACTTTTGTTATACGGAAACCAGCTCTCCGGTACAGTACCTCGAAGTCTCGGGAAATGCATCAATCTCGAGATTCTGGACCTCTCTCATAACAATCTCTCAGGGAATATTCCAGGTGAAGTTGTGTCCAATCTGAGAAACTTGAAGCTTTACTTGAACCTCTCTAGCAACCAGTTAAGTGGACGGATACCTTTGGAGCTAAGCAAAATGGATATGGTGTTAGCCATTGATCTATCTTCCAACAACCTCTCCGGGAAAATCCCGCCTCAGCTCGGGAGCTGCATTGCGTTGGAGCATCTGAATCTTTCGAGAAATTCTCTAGCAAGTGTTCTTCCCAGTTCAATAGGACAGTTGCCTTATCTGAAAGAACTAGACGTTTCGTTGAACAGGTTAACCGGGGAGATACCACCATCTTTTCAGGGTTCTTCAACTCTCAAAAGGTTGAACTTCTCATTCAACATGTTCTCCGGGAATGTGTCCAACAAGGGCGGGTTTGCTAAGCTAACGATTGATTCATTTCTTGGAAATCCTCTCCTGTGTGGTTCAATAAAGGGCATGACAGCTTGCAAGAAGAAGTACAGATACCGGTATGTTCTTCTACCGGTATTGTTATCGTTGTTCGCTACTCCTGTTCTGTGTTTTTTCGGGTACCCTTTAATCAAAAGGTCAAGATTCCGCAAGAACTTATCGGTATTCAATGGAGAAAAGGAAGAGGACGAGGAGAAACAGAACAGGAAGGACCCGAAGCACCCGAGAATCTCGTATCAGCAACTCATTGAAGCAACTGGAGGTTTCAGTTCTTCTAGCTTGATTGGTTCAGGCAGGTTCGGTCATGTATACGAGGGAACTCTCAGGAACAGTACGAGGATTGCGGTTAAAGTTCTTGATCCGGAAACAATGGTAGAGTTCTCGGGGAGTTTCAAAAGAGAATGCCAAATCCTAAAGAGAACACGTCACCGAAACCTGATCAGGATCATAACAATATGCAGTAGACCGGATTTCAAGGCTCTGGTTCTGCCATTGATGCCCAACGGGAGCTTAGAGAGGCATCTGTACCCGAAAGACGGGGAATTGAGCAGAAAACTGGACTTGATCCAGTTAGTGAACATTTGCAGTGATGTTGCGGAAGGAGTGGCTTATTTGCACCACCATTCTCCAGTCAAAGTCGTTCACTGTGATCTCAAACCGAGCAATATCCTTCCCGACGACGACATGACGGCTCTCGTTACCGATTTCGGGATCTCGAGATTGGTGAAAGGCATCGAGGAAACGGTTTCTGCAGATGACTCGGTTTCTTTCAGTTCAACAGATGGATTGTTATGTGGATCAGTCGGATACATAGCACCCGGTAATCTTTCTCTCTTCGTGTTCATATAACTACATTTCTGGATCACTTTCTTCAATCTCAAACTCATTTTCTTGATCACTGTATATTTCTTTCCTCAGAATACGGGATGGGAAAACGAGCTTCGATCCATGGAGACGTGTACAGTTTCGGGGTTCTTCTGCTAGAGATTGTGACACGAAGACGTCCAACTGATGTTATGGTCAATGAAGGTTCAAGCCTTCATGAATTCATGAAGTCTCATTACCCACATAAGCTCGAAGGCATAATCGAAGAAGCGTTACTGAAGTGGAGACCGAAGGGAAAGCCAGAAAGTTGTGATAAACTATGGCACGAGATAGTGTTAGAGCTCATCGAGCTCGGTCTGATATGCACCCAGTACTGTCCCTCCATCAGACCGAACATGCTCGATGTAACTCACGAGATGGGGAGGCTGAAAGAGTATATCTCTACATGCCCTTCTCTGGTTTTAGCTGCTGATGATGAAGCTAGTTCGTCATAAGACTGTTGTTTTCAGAATTCTTGATCATATTTCAGAAGTCTTTGAACGATTATGTTCATTCCTTTCAAAGATTTTCCAGTGATTTTCTTTTTTTCTATGATTCTTGAGCTGGAATGTTATAAAAATGACAGAGTTTGACAATGTTGAGGGCTTGGACTGATTTTTTAAAGATTGGTGGGGGGTTTTTTCTCTGCAATCAAGATCATATATGTGCTCTGAATCTTGTTTCAAAAACCTTCTGCAGTATCTTGTGGAGACCCTTTTCGCCTAACTTTGAAAAGCTTTCAGAAAACTTATATGGCAAGTGGATTCTGATATCAGTTTTTTAATAATCTCCACTGTCTCGAACAGGAAATCATCTGACCTTTGTTCGATATTTTATAAATCAGATACTTTTGAATCGATAGAAAGTGGCAACAAATGCGAAACATCAACATCGGATGCACGTCTAACCAGCCATCACGTTTGTCTTTTTCTCTTTCATTTCATGAAAATGGAAAAACAAATACCAAAAGTGTTTAGCTCATCTGCAGAAACATGATGATCTTCTAAGAACAATGTTCCAGTGGATGATTCAAGAACACAGAAAGACGCAAACTTTATGACCGACCATGAAGTCTTGTTTTTAGCTCATCAGCAGAAACGTGATGTGTAGTTTCAGACAAAGTTTCTGGAGTTTTTGGTTTCAAGAATCTAGTCATGTTTTCAGCAATGCCTAAACCGACAAAACAGAGATAGTAATGGGTTTGTAATAGATGACTCAAGAACACAGAAAGGCACAAACTTTACGACCCAAAGTCGAAATCCTATCCCGTTCTAACGTCGATATCGCTGGCCAGAAGAAGAAGACGACAAGAGCCGAAACTCGCAAGGTAGGTGCAAAAAGAAAAGATCCTGACAACAAAATGGAGGAGGGTTTCTCGACAAATCCGGATTCACACAGATAGAGGGAGGTAAAGCCAGGAAAAAAGTGGCTGATCCATGAGAACGACGTCCAACAAGTTAGCACATGCTATTACGAATAATGTCATCATGATCTTTCTCCGTGTGGTGAACTGAAGACTTTGCCTCCATGACAGATACATAAGGGATATTTTAAAATTGGCTGAGCCTATTGGAGAGGGAGAGACACTGTCCAGAAATGGCGAAAGGTGAGGTTGTCGGATTAGGCTGACGTAAGATCTACGAAGCTTTAGAATGTGGAGAAAGTGGATGATGCCATGAGTAAGAAAGCACGAGAAAACTAGATGTTAAGGCAGAACCAGAAAGTTCAACTAGATTTGTCAGTTCATGTTTCGGTTTCTGATAAAGCTTCTGGATTTTTACTCTTCCTGCTTAGTTCCATATGCATCTGGTTAAGTATCGGTAGCAAGATAACGATAATCGCCGTTGTTAAGAAATCTGGTTATCAAATTTCATTTGAGGTTTTTCTTTTTATGAGATGTGGAAAGAATTAAGTGTAAATCTGGTGAAGTGAATTATCAGACATCTTGTTGCAGAAGTGACACAGAATCCACAATCCCTCGGTTGGTATCTTTCACTTTCATACTTCTATTATGTCTTTTCAACCAAACTCTGTGGAACAAGAAAGAAAGAATTGATCCAAACCATGCAAACGAGAATTCCGATGCTTTCACTCAAAAATCGGAATCGTTTAGATATGTAAGTTATGTACATCATATGGATCTTGCTTTAGAAAGAAAAAAACCGAAAATACAATCTCAATCACATGTTTCAGACAAGACAATCTTGGTTGAATCACTCTTTCGCTATATGACACACTTCACACCATGTCTACTACATCATCAGTGTATGTGTAGTCCAATCGAAACACTCGTTCTATTTCTCTCACGCTATTTGTTTGCAGAAATCTGGAGTTAGTGTTCTTACATGCTGTCATGCGTTCAGTTTCTGACAAAATCTGTGTCTCAGATCCAGAAGTAAAGCATTGCCTGTCAAAAATACATGTCAGAGGTTTGTTAGCACTGTCCGGATTTTCGGAATATGGAAGCTGACATTACAAGTTAGAAAGGGCAGCATACCTCTTGAAGGGAATGGAGAGATGGGTCATCCCGAGGAGGCGACTTCTTGATTGTTCTTGAACTCTCCACTTCATATTTCACCGAGTTGCTCGTCTCTTCCTCTCGTTTAACTCCGCTCATTTCAGTGATCTCCCCTGTTCTCTCCATCTCGAGCCGCTCTACCCGCTCTCTCAACCTTTTCAGCTCGGCTTGGTACTCACGTTCTCTCTTGACATTTCTGTCCCTTACCTGTTTCGATCCTTTCTTTTCCAGCCTTTTCTGCTTCGACGCCATTTTCGCCGGCAAATCACGTTTGCATATTCCCCTATCTTGAACGTTCGACGAGCTTGCAAAATCTTGGCAAACCTCTCCCTTCCCTTGTCCAGACTCTGTTACAGAATCTTGCTTCAGAATCTCGTACTTATCTCTCAGAGAATCTCGAAAATCCGTGATCTCTTTCACTTGCTCGTCCAACTTCTTCATCTGCTCCCAGAGAGAATCGAAATCTCCGTGGATCTTATCCGAATACTTTCTTGAATCCAAGCTCTGCTCGATAACTCCCTTCTCTACAGGAACTGAGAGATCTAAAACTGGTTCTGGAGACGGTGTCTGAGACCTGTCACAAATCCTTACACTATAATCATCCGTCTGTACAAACAAGGACGGATTATTGTCATCTGTGTATCCAAGGCTCAATAGCTTGCACCTGTAGGCTTGGAGTTGGTGTTCAAGGGATGTGATCTCGAGTTCTTTCTGATAAATCACATCCTCCATCAAAACCAGCGAGATTTCCACGTGAGAAATCCGCTCCTCGACCATTCTCTTGTACTGAGAAGCCTCCATGGAGAGGGTTGCCTTCTCGCCTTGAAGCCGAAGAATCATGGCTAAAGCTTCGCTTGCCGACGAAGCCGATGCTTCCCTCTCCGCTTCCAGCTCCTCCCGGAGCCGACTTACGAGTTCCTTTTGTTCGTAAAGTGCTATTCTTAGATCTGCTGCCTCTGCCTCGGGCATGTTCCAGCTGTGACTTCGTTCAACCATGTCCCTGCATAAACACCATCTCTCCCATAATCAGGTAAAAAAAAGGAGGAAAACGTTGAATTCTACCATCATCCATGGCCATGGCAGTGTTACAGCAAGAGAAATTCAACAAAAAAAAGACAGCAAAAAAAAACCCTGCATTAAACGTGAGAAAGAGAATCTTTTTTTACCGCGTAAGGCTGCAGAAGAACACGAAGTTTGTCGTCCGGTTCGATGAGACAGAACCTGAGAAGGATCAAGTAATTGCCGTCTGGACACAGAGCGTATGTGTTTCTGATAGAGAAGGAGAAAATTTTCTTGGGGAATTTTCTCGTCTGAGGGCAGACTGAAACCGAAGTGGTCAATCACACAGCAAATATACCGAAACAGGAGAAACCCAGAAAAGGAAAACATTCATTCATTCACACAAGCCACGCGAGTCAAAAGCATTATAATGATGTGTCCATAACAAAGAACCAAGAAACATTCGAACATCATAGAACATATCGGACCATTCATTCATTCTCCAGCAGGTCCCTTTGAGCTGAGAAACAGCTTCACCGGGCTTCCTCTGATCCCACAACTGCAGACCAAACCCATATCCTCCGGTGACAAACTCTGTCGGAGATGCCCATTTCACTGCGTTATAAGCCACCAAACCCTTCCCGTCGAAGACCCTTTTGTACCTCAAACCTTCACCATTCACAATCGTCACCACGTTCACTCTCCCATCTTCACCAACAGTCACACACTCTCCTCCTCCCTCCCTCCAATCCACACTCTCCACGCGACCCACGTGAAACCTCTCTCCCTCAGGAATCTTTTCGAAGGCCACACGAGAAAATCTCCGGAGAAGAAAAAAAACCACCCAAAAAGGGTTTTATTCCGCTGCACACAAGCACAAGACCATCCACCAATATGAATCCGTCTACGTGTACTGAACGAAAGGGTCCTTCACAGCTCATGAACCACAGTTTTCTTGATTAAACTACGAGAAAAATCAAAAGGGTACACATCAAAATCAATACTTTTTCATAATAGATTCCTCTAGAATCATGATGAGAGGGGCAAGGCAGGCCATCTCCCAGAGGGGGCAAAAAGGGGTGTAACATTAGTGAGGAACACATTTATTTAAATTTGAATGATTAAAATGCCCGTTCAGAGTGGGACATGCGGCATTGATTTCTTCCCAAGTGTATTTTGAAAACTTCTTTCGATATTTAAAGGGTCAGTTGAAGAAAAGAGAAATTCAACGGCTCATTACAGGGACAGGTATCAACTCCTGTGGGTCCTACCCGTTTGCCGACCAAACCAGCTCGATCCTCGCCGTCGCCGTCCCTGGTCATTCGGGGGGTTTGACTTTGACCAGTACATATCACACAGTTGACTCTTATATACATACACATATGTACATATAGATAGGTATGCACTTGTGTATCAGACTCGAGAAATGATTCTGGAGAGCACTGCAATCTTTTGCAATCTGTCCAAACGATATTGAAGAGTTGGAACACTGGATTGAGTTGGAACATAACTCTGTCCATGTTTTCTCTTAAGAGAAAAACTATAAACACCATTCTAGTTGCTTATGCCATCTTCTTCCTCGTCATATCATCAGCATCATCATCGTTCATGGCCATGAAGAAAACCAAAACATATCATACGGAGCACAAAACATAGTTTTAACTCAGAGCTTCGACCTGCTTTTATCAAGGCCTTGTTATGACTGCTATGGATTCCCACTCTAAGCTACATATCACATCCTGCACGACCCAAAATACCAGGGTCAATCCACGCCTTATCCAAATAACTAGCAGGGTCAACCATAGTTCAACAGCTCCCTCAATTACCTGTGGATTTTGCCTGTCAATGTCAAAGCTGTTGATGGCACACGGTTCAGCCAGGAGCTCAACGGGCTGTTCACCTAAGAAAATAAGCAGTGGGACCGAAAGGGAGAATCAGTTTGTATAATAGAAGAAGTTTTAGAGGATGGACAGAATCATATTCACTGATTATCATTTAGAGAAATGGGGTAGCATCCCACTTTACCTTGCTCGATGACACCGAGGATACCATCTTCAGAGCAGATCATAACAGGAAGTATCTTTGAGGATGAGATGTTGGATTTCGTGTATGGGTCATACTGAACCTCCCATACCTCACTTTCAGACAGGGGACTGTCCGTACTCTCACTTGCAAAGTTCCCAGAAAGAAGAATAGGTTGCTGCGGCCAGCGAAGATCCCAAACAAAAACAGTACCTGAAGACCCTCCTGCCTAAACACGCCATATCAATCAAACTGTTCTTAGAGAATAACAGTCAAATTTAGTAAACCTCAAGAAGTTACCAATTGGTATCTAGAAGCTGGTCGCCCTTTTATAAGATAAATCAAGAGGATTTCCGGAATATTAATTATATTATTCGTTACAAATAAACAGTTTTCTTTCTCAGAAGAAAGAATGTGAGAATACAACTGTCTGGATACTCTATGCAGAGTCTATTGAATGACATTTGAAAAAGGGAAAGTATCAAAATTTGGTGAAAGGTTGGGAATCGAATTCAAATTCCTGAACTTTGACAAAGCATGGTAATCGAAATTTTCAGTGTTCATAGAGAGAGGGACCTGATCAGATGCCAAATTAAAACCACACAAACAAAAATATTACTCACAATGCAAGTGTGCTTCCGGGATGGATGAATGTCAACCGAGTGAACAATTCCTGAAGTTCTGGACTGAGTCCTGCAATGTCATCACCAAATAAAACACTGGATATTGATGTCTAATTCCACAAGCTACAAAATAAAGGCTGCTCCTTTATCTTCCCGGCTTTTCTTGTTGAGACCATTAACTCGATCAAAGGAGAGAAGCATTCGAGCATATTTTTGGTCCAAAAGCTCAAAACCATTGTCCTAAAAACTAGAAAATCGCCAGAAACAGCAAGAACACTGTAATGAAAAGCACAAACAAACAGACGTGGCCCATGAGATTGATGGTGTGGAGAGACTCACCAGTTCCCTTTGAGCTGAGAAACAGCTTCACCGGGCTTCCTCTGATCCCACAACTGCAGACCAAACCCATATCCTCCGGTGACAAACTCTGTCGGAGATGCCCATTTCACTGCGTTATAAGCCACCAAACCCTTCCCGTCGAAGACCCTTTTGTACCTCAAACCTTCACCATTCACAATCGTCACCACGTTCACTCTCCCATCTTCACCAACAGTCACACACTCTCCTCCTCCCTCCCTCCAATCCACACTCTCCACGCGACCCACGTGAAACCTCTCTCCCTCAGCCGCGTAGGCCTCTTCCATCTCCGCACCTTCCACCAAATCCACCGTCAGAATGTGGAGAGAGCCTGAAGAAGTGGCAACGGAGACGATGGGCTTGAAACCGCCTGCGCCGGAAACTTCCAAGGAAGAAACACGAGCCGGAGAAGTCCATGAAGACAGACAGGTGATCTCCGGGCTCAGGTTCGGGTTTCGTCTCGGATTCGGATCGAGAGACTGGACTTCGACGGAGGAAGAGTCAGATTCCGAATCATAGAACCCGAAAACGACGAAGCGGTTCAGAGCGGAAGCCTGTGGAAGCCATCTGACTCCGTCGACGTACTTCGATTGCGGTATCCTATGGATTCGGAGCGATTCCTGCATCTCCATTGTTGAGGTTTCTAGGGTTTTAGGAGAAATTCGACAGGAAACAAATGGTGGGAAATCATGAGATTTCAGAAACTAAAGATGAAGTTACTTAACTACCCATGCGAGTTCCAATATTCACGGAATTGCCACGCCTTAACAAAATAAACACGTGATGATAAATATGCTCAGATCTTTATCTCTGTCCTGGGAGCGAAAAATGCTGGTCGCACAAAACAAGAGCTTTATCTCACCGAGCAACAGCCGCCATTGTTTTGGCCATGTCTTCAAGAAAAATGGTGGTGGAATTGCTACTGTAACGGCCAAAAGGAGAGATTTTTCCGACAAATCGATCGAAGAGAGACCCGTTTTCCAAATCAGAGTACCGAACACAACCCTCGCTCGAACCGGGATTGCTGTTCTGGGTTTGGGTTTCATCGATGCTGGGTAAGTAAGTGTCTATTCTCTCAAATCCCAATTCAAAGAACTGTGGGTTGACGAGATTTCCTGCTAAAAGTTTCGTAATTTCATAGTGTTTTGGAATATATATCTACATTTGATGGTTTTTCAGGTACAGTGGTGATTGGTCGAGAATAGGAGCGATCTCCGAAGAGACAGAGGAATTCTTAAAGGTTGCTGCTTTTGTTGTTGTTCCTCTCTTCATCTTCATCGGGCTCTCATTCTATAAAAATTCGACAGATTAAATCAGTTGTAAGAATTGGCACTTGCTTAGTTATGAAAAGATCCATTGGTATATGGAACTGTAAGCTGAGCTACAAAGGTACAAACGAATAATGAAAGTGAACTAAATGTTTGAAGTGTCTGCTAAAAGGCACAAGAGGGAGATGCCCTTTGAAAATCCATGATAAGAAGAGTGGCGGCACTATGCGCAAGGGCTCCTAATACTACAAAGGCGTGGAAAATCTGGTGGCTATGTCCAGCGATATCAAAAGTTCCGGGCTTCCACCGTTCTGGAACCCTAGCGACGTAAAAAACTGCACCTGAAGCGTACGCGACGGCCATGGCGAGCTCGTAACCGAGGGCGACAAACACATTAGGGTGAACCCAGTGAAGGTAAAGCACATGGGTGGCAGGGATCACGCCCGAGAATCCCATGGCGAGGAAAAGCACAGCTCTGAAAGACCTGAAACGTGGGGCGGAGAGAGATGGAGCGAGGAGAGTGGTGATGGCGAGGACGCCGAGGATGGAGATGCAAGAAAGGTAGAGGACGCGCCAGTAAGGGTGGCGGGAGAATGCGTAGTAGATCGGGGCGAAGAATGAGCAGACGATCATGAGGGAGATTCCGGCATAGTCCAAGCGCCAGAAGAAGAGGTTGAAGCGTTTGGAGTGGCAAGCGAAGAGGTGAGAGAGGGAACTGAAGATCAAACAAGTCATTGCTCCGGCTAAGAACACGAACCATGGCCACTTCGGAATAGCTTCAAGACTACCTTCTCTGTGAAAGTTGAAGAACAGGCTCTCTGGGATTTGATTCGGGTTCGAACCCTGCGAATGAAAATCATTCAACAATCTTTCAAATCTTAAATTGCTTGACAGAAGATGTTTGGTGGGTACCGACAAACATGGAATCGTTTCAGACAGGGAAGGAGATCACGTGGTGGGACACCACTCACAGCTACTGTTAGCAAAAAGAATAAAAAAAAAAATTTACATTCTACAGAGACAAAGGAAATATCAGAATCAGATATAGTAATATAGAGGGAACTTTAACAATATATATATATAAATGGGGGGGACGGGCAAATCTTACATGCAGCAAAGTTCCATTGGTAGCGGCGATGGTGGTGGTGAGGTAAACGTCCCTCGCCGTTAACATTGACGGCAAGCGAATCTTAGATCTGTCAATGGGTCCCACCACCAAAAAATCATTCGCATTTTTTATTATTATATTATCAAGGAAATGACGGATTTGCCCTCGGACGCTTTTACCTGGAGAAGGCGCTGGTGATTCCGGCGAGGCCGAGCTCGCTCGTCTCCTTGGAACTCACCACCGCCATCGCAACGAATATTAGAAACCCACCCAGATGCCTACCGATTTCCCAAAAAAAAAAGAAACAAAAAGTCAAATTCAAAATCGAGATGGCGAATCCAATGGCGTGGGTATTAGCGTGTGTAGTAATGTGTGTGTAGTTTCGAACACGTACGACCAGATGTTGAGGGTCTCGTTGTGCAAGGAGAAGATGCTGAGGAAGGTGTGCCGGAGGGACCATTCGCATCGGTAATGGTCGAGTATGTACTCGTTGTCCTTCATATACTCCGGCAACTCCTCGAACTTCAACAATCTCCGTTCACATCTCACCATCATCGTCTTCTCCTTCTTCTGATCTCCCTTCGCTGGAGATCTCCTCATCGCCCTCCGCCTCCGCATCAATCTTAATCTGAATCCTCTGTAGGAGCTCGTCGTTAAAAATGGGAAACTATATCTCCGGCGATTTTCCGGCGAATTCACCCTCTCTCTCTCTCTCTCTCTGTGATTTTCGCTGGTTCTCGTGGCTTCGTCTCCTACATATATGGAGGGGACGAAACCTCGTCGAATTTGAAAAATCCCCTTGGGAAGAATGCTGACGTGGCGATTTTACCTGCCCTTTGAATACACGTGTCAAATTACCATTGGTTATAGATCTTTTTACTCTACGGAAAAGCGCACGAGATTACTGTTCCGTGCAACAAAAATATTAAGCCAAGGTCGGAAGTTGAGAAATGCAAAAATTGTTTCGACTTAAATTCCATGTCGACGGCTTCAGTGACGTCATAATTAAATGGAAACCTTGTTTTCATTATAACGCTAATTATAGAAAAAAAAATAACAATAAAAATATCAACGGTACGTATAACGAGTATACGTATCGTAATTGTATTTGTGGTAATAGAATTAAGATTAATGAGACTATATCTTCTAAGATTCATTCTCGAACGATCGAAGGAAAGGTAATAAAAATATTGCCTATATAAGTTAACCAAAAAAAATATATTGCCTATATAAAAAAATATTATTTATAATGTGAATATGTATCTGTTATTAACAATTATACAATCCAATATATGCTGGATGGATAAATTTATTAGTCAAGTCAAGTGTGAATAATGTATGGTACCGAATACAGCATTTGCATTAAATGTATACGCTATGTATATATATGGTTAGCTTACCGAAATATAAATGTCGGGTTCTTCAACTTAAGAATGATATATGGTCCAAAATTTGACGGTGGCATGCCATGTTACATGGTTATCATCAAATACACTAGTTATCGTATTTATGGTTATAAAGTGGGCTACTAATTAAATGGCACACTTAATTAGAAAAAAACTCGTCCAATGGATTGTTATGCATCTATGCATATATACATGATTTAGGTGATCATCATAACTCATGAAACTTAAGTAGAAATCTGAAATCTTAGCACTGAATTTTCAAGATTTGTGCTAAGAATTTCCAAAGACAAGCCCCTGGGGACAAAAAGGAGAAAGAACAGAACTGCTTGGTTTGTGCCATGGATCTTCCAACCGCAAGTTACCATCATCAAGATTTAGCTTCTTGTAAGAGTTAGCATAGGTTATAGTACATGATGATGATGATGATGATCTCATGCATAACATAACTACATGCGGAAAAAAAAAATGGAAGAGATTTTTGGGAAGACAAAGCCATGTTTGAAGAAGAGAAAACACAGCACCTACCAATGTGTCGTTTAATAGGTTAATTTGTCGTAATTCTGTCCATTAGCTTTTGTAACCAATCAAAACCTCTTTTTTTTTTTTTTCTGAAAATCTACGATTCTTCCGAATACGGTAATCTCGTCTCAGTGTATTCTCTTAATGCAGTTGAAAAATCAATCCATAATAATGTTAGTAGGACCACAGCCGTATAATAATATTCTGTATATATAGTGTATAGTTGTTAATATTGAGAATTATGGGAAGTTTTAGTTTAGATATTATTATGTTTTAATTTGGGTTGAAACTTAACTGAGTAAGTTTAAAATAAATAAAACAATTTCTTTTTATTCGAATTACTAATTTCTATTTTAATGAATAGATAAACCCAAACTAAATAGAAAACATAGTAATATCTAAACTAAAAATTCTTTGTTGTTACTAATAGTTAATTCACTCCATTATAGATGTATAGAATTAAAATGCATTAGCGTCTATATGTTTAGGAGATCAAAATATATAACCAGCCAAACTAAAACATATATATATATATATATATATATATATAAGAATCCTCTGGTAATCAATGCGAAATAATAGTCAGCGGTGATATAATCGATGTGTTGAGCGCTTATGGTCCAATTATTTGTTTGGTATTTGCATGTGTTTATAATGGGTGATATATAGTTGTCAAAAGCATCATAACTTGCGATAAAATGCCAAATAACATAAGGACAAACAATTTCATTTCCATGCTTGGCTACTTGGTGTTGTTATCCAAATAACCCACGTTATAATTGAGGAAGAGAGACATTTCCCTTGGAGAATATCAAAGAAATTTTCCAATATATGTAAAAGGGACCGATTCTAAACATTTTCGTTAGAATTTACTGGTAACAATGCTATTTTTTTTTTATAATTAGGAAGTTCACCGGGTATTCGTTCCGACTACATCTCCCACGGCTCGATAGCAGCCTTTAAAATACATTTAAGGGCTCATAGAGCAACACCCTAAATACACCCCTCCCTCCCCAACAGCTGGATTCGAATTGGTGACCGGGACCCTGAGATCAACACTCTTTACTGGGTAGCAATACCAATTTTAACGATAGTTTGATAAATTGTTGTTGTTGACTAAATGTGAGAGTTCTTTTTAGATTATCCGAACTTGAAAGATTTTAAAATTAAAAACTCATATACCAATAGATTACAAATCCAAAATATGCAAATAAAATATTTTGGCATAGGTAACTTTCTTAATTTTCAAACAACTTGAGGGTATAAATGTTTATTTCGCTACAATTCGAGTATGCACAAGTAATTCCGAGTTTTAGGTATATTTAATCTATGTTTCGTTATAAGGTGTGTATCCGAGTTTTGGATATTAAATTGGATCTTTACCTCCAAAATGTTGGCATTTTTGTCCTAATTCTCCCGATTTTAATAATTGTTTGATAATTTATTGTTATTGACGAAAAATAAGTTCTTTTGAGATTACTTGTATCTAATAATTTTATTATTTAAAATATTAATTCAAATTTATACAATAATTTTTTGATCAATTTAATCTATTTATAGAGATTTAAAGACATATATAAATATCTAGAGATTCAATTCAATATTTGTTTTTTTTTTATCTAACATGTGTTTTTCATTGATGATATATGTTATAATTATCAAACCCCATCCTATCCTACAACATAATGTTTAAAAAAAAAAAGGAAAAAAATGGTAAATTTGTCTCCCAAGTAAAAGCCAAAAGCACGTTATAATCGTGGTGGAGTACATATCCAAAGCAAAGAGAATAACAATCTCTCCCCTCTCGAAGTGCCTATAAATAAACAAATCAAAAGGAGAAGTGAAGCATCGTCGTCATCATCATCGTTCTGTCTGAAAACCCTAGTTCTAAAACGGAAAAGATTAATGGAGAAGAGCAATAAGGGTAAGGTGGAGTGGAGGTTCTCAGGAAGCGAAGCAGCGAGCGAAGCATGGGCTGCTTCGTTGGGAACCGTCGTATCGAGCATCAGGGCTCGTACGAACCCTAACGGCGACAAGAGGGTACTGCCTCCGTCCGAGGTTTCAAAGACTTGGCCTGAGGCAGAGGCTTCCATCGCCCACGTCATCGATTCTGGCACCGGAAATGCTTACGCTCCCAGCATCGGAACTCCCCATGCCAAGAAGTCAGTTCCCCTGTCCTCTTCTTTCTTTCTTGAAATAAGCAAGAAAATATACGAACAGTAGCGTGCATGTGTTCAAAATAAAAACAAAACTCATGACCTTGAAGTGCATGCGGTACGGTTTGAACTCCGTCAACTAAAACTCCGACCGATCTTGTCCAAATGTAGCATCCAGAGGGTTTTCACGTATATAGATCTTCTGATCTTCGACCAATACGGACTCAATCTGATCTGAAACAATATATATTAACCCTTTTTTCAGGGCGGTTTCCGATTTACTAAACCGAGATCTCGAAGGTCAGGACTTCAAGCTGAAACCAGAAGATGTATTCATGGCGGCAGGATGCAAGCAATCCATCGACATCATAGTCGAAATACTCTCGAAACCAAATGCCAACATTCTGTTCCCTCAGCCCGGATTCCCTCGTTACGACGTTCGAGCACTCTACAGCCGTATCGAGTTTCGAAAGTACAATGTTCTTCCCGACCAGAACTACGAGATCGATCTCGATCACGTCGAGAAACTGGCCGACGATAACACGTTCGCCATCGGCATTATAAACCCTCACAACCCCTGTTGTAACGTCTACTCTGAAGAACATCTCAAGAAGGTCGGAACCCTTTTTTTTTCCTCCGTTTTTTCTTGTTGCTATTAGAATAGGGTTTTCGAGTACGATTGACGAATGATGATGATTATGTCGATGTTTTGATGAATCTTAGCTGGCTGAGTTGGCTCGGAAGCTGGGTATAATGGTTATATCCGATGAAGTGTATCGTTGGACCGTGTTTGGGGACAGACCGTTTGTTCCGATGGCTAAGTTTGCATCTATCGCTCCTGTGATTACGCTCGGTTCGTTATCCAAGGGATGGGGGGTCCCGGGATGGCGAATGGGTTGGATCGCATTGAACGATCCCGAGGGCGTTCTCAAATCCACCAAAGTCAGTCCATTTCCTGATCTTCCTCCTATGCATATATATCTATCACATATAATATATGGATCATACGTTATGTAAACAGACAAGAAAACGATCAAAATCAGACATAATCTTTGTTCAAAAACAATCTTGTCGATCTTTGTGTTTCTGACATTCTTGTTTGTGTTGTGAACAGGTCGTTCAAGCTATCAAGGAATATCTCGAGATTAGTTCGAAACCCGCAACTATCTTCCAGGTTTGTGAATTCACAAACTAACGCATTCATGTGTGTGTGTATATATGAGATTCATGGGAAACATATGCTTACATACAACAGTTGACACGATCTAATGTGACAGATACTAGTTTTGTATGATCAAATTTTAGCTTTGTTAGAAGATGATTTCTGATATGTATATATTTCGGTAGGCGGCTCTTTCGGATATATTCGAGAAAACACCGGCTGAGTTCTTCGAGAAGAAGAACGCTTATCTGAGGAAGAACGCAGAGTATGGATTCAACCAGCTCAAGGACATACCTTGCCTTCACTGCCCCATGAAACCTGAAGCCTGCACGTTCTTATGGGTACTGCATATATACATACATACACTTATACATATACACATAGTATCACATCATTTTGGTTTGTGTATGTGCATATATATATATATATATGAGTACATCGAATCGGTACGATTACTTGCAGGCGAAGCTGGAGCTGTCGCAGTTGGAGGACATCAAGGATGATCACGAGTTCTGCTCCAAGTTGGCTGCCGAGGAAAACCTCATCGTCGTACCTGGTAACAATCATTTTTGCTTCTACGATATGACAACAAACGATTTTCGACTAGAAACGGTCCATATAGCTTCCATAATCCGACAAATTTCAAACCAGAATACACGATGTGGAATCCGAATTTGGTTTTTGCAGGGTCTGCGTTAGGGCTTGAGAACTGGCTGAGGATATCCATCGAATACTCAGACGCTTCTCTGGTGGAACAAACCTTTGAAAGATTGAAGGGTTTCTTCAAACGCCACGCCAATATATAAGCAACCGAATCCTTCACTTGAAGATCTGAAAGTACTGAACTAAGACCACAAAAATAAATAAATAAATAAATGAATGAATGAATGAATGAAGTGGCTTCTGATGTGTTTGTGTTTTCTTCCTGTCTGAATAAATCTTGTGTTTGAACTTGGTGGCAATGTCGATGTGTTTCCTTGATTTCGGAAATAAAGTTGTTTCTTATCTGCTTTTGCTATGAACAAAGGGCCTTTAACGTTTTACAAGTTCCTTTCTGAGCAAGTAAATGTTAACGTGGGATCCAAGAAACTAACCCTAGAGCTATACATACACACACATAAATCACTAAAATTTCGTAATCGATTCTCCTTCACCGGGCCTTCGGCGGAGATAACGTTTAGAACGCATTTTAGTGCGTCCCTCTCCCCACATGCGAAATCGAATGGCGTACCTTGAAAGCACCTTTTTTTATGTTCAAATTGGTCCGGTTATTCACCAAAAAAGCCCGCTCCATTCATGATATTGATGATCAATGGTCAAACCCCTTTTGTTATTACAGATTTCTATGTGTCTTCAACGAATACAATCTCGAAAACTTGCTACAGAACACAAAAACCGAAATGGGATTCAGGGATGGAAAATTAAATAAGAGAGGAGAGCTACAATGAAGAAAACTCTGCAAGAAGACAGAAGATTTGTCTGAAAATGCAGTGGACCGAACCTTTGCAATGTCTGGTAATTTAGTCGATCTTCACCGATGAGTAGATGAGCCTGGTGAACCAGAAGCACGCGTAGAATCCGATCGCACCTGTCAGGACGAAGAAAACGTACGAGACCAGAAGCATGTACCCGAAGTAGAGGACTGCGGAAACGAGCTTCGAGATCTCGAGCTTGGTGAAGAAGTAGAACGAGGCGTAGAAGAAGAGGTAAAGAGCCGACGAGCCAGAGGTCAGGTACGACCTCCACCACCACGAGTAATCTTCGCTGCAGAGCTGGAAGTAGCAGAGAACGATCGTGATCTCGGCGCAAGTGACGATCAGGATGATGAACACGATGAACAAGAACCCGAAGATGTAGTAGAACTGATGCAGCCATATCGAGGTGAGGATGAAGAACAGCTCGATGAAGACGGCCCCGAACGGGAGAATCCCTCCGATGAGGATGGAGAAGACAGGGTTCATGTACCAGGGCTGGTCTGGAATCTGTCGCGGGATCTTGTTCGTTCTTACAGGATCGTCCATCGCAGGTTTTCTGAAACCGATGTAGCCACCGATGAAGACGAGAGGAACCGAGATGCCAAACCAGAGGAAGACGAGCGCAAACATCGTACCGAATGGCACGGCCCCTGACGATTTCTGTCCCCAGATGATGGCATTCAAGACGAAGAACACGAGAAATATCGTCGCTGGAAACGTGAACGCCGTTTTCAGGGCGATTTTCTTCCATTCGGTTCCTTTGAACAGCTTGTAGAGACGAGCCGAAGTGTATCCAGCGAAGAGACCCATGAAAACCCAGAGCAGGAGCATGACCGTCATCAGACCGCCTCTGTTTGAAGGGGACAGGAATCCAAAACATGCAAAGATCATCGTAACCAGAATCATCCCGAAACATTGAACTCCAGACCCGGCATAGACACAGAGCATGTCTGAACTCGACGGAGGCCTGAAAACATCTCCATGGACCAGTTTCCAACCCGTCTCTTCCTGTGCCTCTTCTTGAGTCTCCAACTGGTTATACTTGGAGATATCCCGGTAAAGTGTTCGCATCATAATCATTGCCACCATACCCGAGAGGAAGAGAACGATCATCATTGAGTTAACAATCGAGAACCAGTGAATCTGATCATCAGCCATCAAAAGATATGTGTCCCAACGAGACGCCCACTTCACCTCACTCTCCTGCATGATGAATGTCCACAAAAAAGTTCATTCACTGTCGTGCAAACGATAACGACAACAAGAACAGGTTTGAGCGGTCTAACCTGAAAATCGACGTCATATGTGAATATAATTTCTTTGCCCTCCTCAACTTCCTGAGGAGACTCGGAATTTGTGACTGCACGCTTAGCATGGGGATCACATGTCGTTAGGCGAGTCTTCTCATTCCACTGACCTTCATATTCATGCTTGACACTTTCATACACAAAGAAACATGAATCATCAATGCCGGTTTCCACTCTGCAAACTGATTTAGAGAAAAGGGTTTTCCATGTGAACGTCGAATCTTCGGGAATCATAAGACCTACCTGAATGGCTTGACCTCAAACCCGACTATCCTTGCTGACTCTGTCTGCGTATCTCTGTGATACTTTACAGAGAATGACAAGTGATTGTGGATGAAATATTTCTCTTCCTTGCTCTGCAGCCAATCATGTACAGATAGCAGACTAAGAATTCATCCCGGAAACGTTTAATCGTGTGATAATAACCAGAAAGCGTGATAGATCAACCACCACTTACACCAACAAATTTTCCCTTCAGACCGACATGGAAACCATGCTGATAAACTATGACATTTTCCTGGTCTGGTCTTTTCACAGGAACAACTAGAGGAAGATTGTCCAAAATCCTGCAAAAGAAACCGTCATGTAGCGGAACAAAACGAATGTAAAAAGCATTCAAAATGACCAAACAAAGAGAGAAAATCTCACATGTTCACCCGATACTCATCGGCAATCTTCTCCTTAAATGCCTTGGAAGTTTTCTTATCAAGCTTTATACGACATACCGCAGCACACATCTGTGATTCTCTCATTTTAAACTGCAACAGACAGATCCCGCCAAGAAGGTCATTTCTAAACACGAAAACGCATCAAGAACCGAAATTTCATGCAACAGAGATCGAAATGTACCACGTAAGGGGAGTTCTCAATTCGATCCCCGCGAAGAACTTCTCCGAGATTCTCAGCGCTGTCAACTATATGATCTGGTCGGCAGTATGGAAGGGAATAGTAAGAGTATGGAAGTTGGGTTTTCGTAGAAGTCAGTTTGTTCACTTTCACCATCAATGCATCGCCCTGACAGAACATCAACGAACACAGAACACCATTAACTCGAATTTGTATGCATACACACACATACATATAACAAACAACATCAATCCTGTATCAGCATCTGACATGATTCTCCTTTTTTCTATCCTCGGGAAGCAGATTAGTGCGAACCACATCCGAACAAAAGCTGAAACAATGGCTTAGATCACTCATCAACAACGATTTCTATGTACTTAAGATCGAAATCATCCAAAGCTCGCATAAAAAAACATAACAAAAACATTCAGAACACAATGTGGATCGCAATCCGAACAGGGTTTCGAGCTCAGAAGAAGAACATGTCGGATCTAATTCAGGAACCAACCAAGCCATCACTAGATCAAAATTCGGAGTTTCGTCGAAAGAATCTCCTTGAATCACACTCTTGTTATGTTCATATAACCACAGACAGATATACATGCAAACTGGTGATTTCTTAACTGACCATTTGGAAATCCTGAGGAGCGACACCGGGAAGGTAGAATCCATGAACATGGACGAAGAAGAAGAGAGCCAAAGCGGCGATCGAAACGCGAAATTGGGTCGACCCTCTCAGACCCGCCATGGATTTTCTCGATTTCTTCTTCGTTTCTTCTGGAGAATTGGTCGCGAAGGAGCAAGTTTTTCTTTAAATGCAGGGGGGGGGGGAAGGAAGATGCAGAGAGAGAACGCTTCATGGCAATTCTTCGTTTCCTGACCGTTGGATCTCCTTTTGGTGTGATTAACGATCATGATTTTCTCATACGTCTTGTCGGTAAATCTGCCTCCATCGGTATATAAAATAATTAGCAAAGTCAACAGTTATTTTTTCTTTTTCCTTTATATTAAGGATAATTTTTTTTAAGAATGAATGAACTTGGACAATACAATAAACAATTTAAAACCATAAATATATTAGCAACGTAAAAAATATCAAAGATACTACTTTTCTATAGATTATTGATCTAATAATTTTAAAATGGTTTACAAGTGAACTAATAACTTAATTATTAACAATTCATATATATATATATATATATATTAAATCTAATTATTCTTATGTGCAGGTAAAAGATAGAACAAATATGTTTTAATATTTAATTTATTTTATCTCAAATTTGATAATATATTTAGTTATTATGTTTTTTATTTCTTTTAGCATATCTTGTTTAAATTACTCGTGCATAGAAATTAGAAAATCGCCAAAACAGATATAATATTATGGAGAAGAGAAGATAAAAAAAAAAATAAAAAGAGGAAAATGTATTTCGAGAAGCAAATGGAATTAATGGGTAAAAGGCCAACTCTATTTGGTAAATGACAGCGACCGTGTAACTGTTTCACCATGTTTTGAAACTCATACATTCAACCACCTCAAATAAATAAACAAATCATACCATACCATACATAATTATATCACTTTTAATTGGTTTAAATACATTTACATATTATTATTATTATTATTATTATTATTATTATTATTATTATTACAAAAAAAATTGTGAAGTCATCCTGAATTTATGGTCAACTAATGCTATCTCAAAACCTTAAAGACTACTCAAAGATTTATTACAATTATATAATCACTACCTTAAGCTTATGGTTACAATAGCTTCACTGTTACTTCTCTTCTTGGATCTCTCTCTCTCTCTCTCTCTCTCTCTCTCTCTCTCTCTCTCTCTCATATATCAATAAACCAAATCTCCATAAGAGCACACTAATTTATGGGCATTGAAGCTAGTAAAAGTCCAATGTCTCTACACCATTAGATCATTGCATTGATTGAAGAAAGAATGAATCTGATACAAAAGCTTTAGACATGATAAGATCCATAAGACATTGGAGACACATCTCTACAACAGGAACACACACAACATGGAGAGTGGTCTAAAAAAGGAACACACACAACAAGTTTCTGACCCTTTTAAGCTTGAGCAGCAATGGAAGGTTCAAGCATTCTTACAGACCGAGGAAGCATAAACTCGGTGAAGACAGGGTAGTGAGAAGAAGGATACAACCCGTCAATCTTGTCGTTCACCACTTCGCACATCACTGGAACTAGAGATCTGCCTCTGTAAAGAATCCAATCCGTGTGTAGATCCTGAGTTTGTCTGTCCCAGCAGAGGCATAATGCTCTGAATATCAACTTCAAGAACTCGACCGTTCCCTGCTTGTCACCTGATTGATATTGTCGTTCATAGAAGATTGTTATGTTTATGCTTTAGAAACATGGAGAGAAAGGCTAGAGCAATTTGATAATGTACCTTTGAATCCGTGATATGTTCTTATAAGAGAGACGTTTTTCCTCACTCGAGCGCTAGGCCATGCATCTCTCATGTCTCCCACCACACCATGCTCTCTGCTAGCCATTAACATGTGAATCCCCAAAAGAGAATTCTCGGTATTTAGAGGATTGGACCGGGGGGTAATGAGAATAAAAAAGAATGGCACGTATCATGAGCTGAAATGTGATATACCTGGACCTGCCCAAGAGGAAACGACCAGAGGTTGATTCCTTTTGGGTGTTGAATCCTCCACAATAGACAACTGGTAAGGTGGGAGGTAGAGATGCGATGTGCTGCCATGTGAGTAAAGCACTTCGCCTACGAGCACGAGGGCTGAACTCATCCAAGTTTGTGTTAACTATCTGAAACGAAAAACCCGGTGGCTCCACTCCTTTCAGTTGAAATGTGTGGGCAGCATGTCAAAGTAAACAAACTAAAATGCAGGCGTGAAAGAAACAACTCCAAAGGGTAAAAATCCATCGAATCGAAATCAAATAACTAATAATGCAAGCTTTTCAGGATATCGCCCACGTTGCAATACAAGGAACTGTGGAACCCCATGCCGTGCTTCCAGGAACCGAGGGTGACTCTGATAACCAAAACGTTCCACCCTCTAGCAGCTCTACCTTCAAGTTGTAGGAAGAAATATCAGGCAGGGAAATCGGTATCAAGAAGATGTGGTTTTGAAGAGATTAATGGACCGAATTCATTACTTTTTCCTTGTTGTAGAATATTGTGCAGCATTCATCACTAGCATCCTGGGGTCCTTTTCTTGATATACCGAACTGATCGTAAGCTGCAAAACAACGATTACTGTCATATCTTTTAAGCTCAAAACAATGGCGTAAAAGGGAATAGCTCCTTGTTTTTGACAAGATTCACATCACACGGGATGGAGGACTTGAATGTGAGAATACCATTCATGTCATTCAAACAACAGAGACAATGAATGTACAGATCTAAAACTTCATGAGGGGTGCACTTGATTCCAACTCTACTAGCACAATAATCAGTTCTACAAAAACAACTACAAGGAAAGGGTTTTTGACTTTGGTCGAAGCTCGAATTGATATCATTAAGAAACATGCCCATCTATAATGGTACACAAATCAAGTCAAAATTCCGGGTTCTACAACTGTTATATATCTGATCAATGGCCATTTAACAAGCAAGAACATTTAACTAGCAACATAAGTTCAGCATCGAAATGCACTCGAGTGGAGTGGCTCAAGAACACCAATTACCTGGCAAGCCCTGCTGAAGAAAATCCAACTGTGACTTCACACCTGAACAGATGAAGAACAATATCACCAAAAACTACATTCCTTTTCCAGCACCCATTTTTCGCCCCAAAAAAATCGAACAATTTCCCAAAAAAAACAAAAACCCATCTCAAAAGAACACAAATTAGAACATACCCAGATCGCAAAATGCGAAAAAGGAATCAAGATCTACACGCATTGACTCGTCCGCTGACATAAAAAGCAAGACCAAAGTTGGAAAGAGAGTTACCTTGTTGAGTGCAAAGAATGATGGGGGAGTAACTGTTGATGACACTGAGACACAAATCCCTCCTTTTCTGCCATGAATTCGGGCTTTCTTCAGGTTGATCGTCGTGAAGATTGAATGTCATCACACTCAGAGAAACACTCATCTTTCTTGGGATTTTTTTTTTTTTTGCAGACGAATGAAAGCAGGTCTCTCTCTCTTAGATCATCAGCTCAATCGTCGTGAGCTTCATGATCAATCCTTGGTCAAAATCAATCGATTTAAAAGGTGAAAACAGCTCATGATCGAATAAATTTATCGGCATATTATTATTATAGTCCCACGAATCCCAAACCGCCCTTCCCTTGCACACTTGCTCACAGGCGAAAACTAAGTCACCACCAACGTAGGTTTCGTGGATTTAGACATCGACGTTGACGGCGCACGCCTGAACGTTAGACACGTGTGACACATCGCTAAGGCCAATCTCGGAATTTCATTTATTTTATTTGGGCTTTTAAGTTAGCAACAGGCCCATTTCAATTATGGGCTAAATCATGAGAAATTTCTGGGCTTATATTTTTATAAAGCCCAGGATTGTATACACACGAAAACGAAAACAGAACAAAACAAACGTGTTTTCATATATATATATATATATTTTCATATATATATGTGTGTGTGGTAAGTTTTAGGATTTTGTTTCTAAAACAATTGTCAACATCTACATCCACGTAGGACGTCATCTAATGAAACATTAGTCAACATGATAGTATTTGTTAATTCAGAATTTCTATTGAATTTTTTTCGATTTAAAAAATTTATTTGCATATAATTTAACCTCTAAAATCTATTAAATATTTTTAAATTTATGTTTAAATAATTTAGTATTTATTCAATTAGAGTTGAAAATTGATAAATCAATAAAAAAATTACAAATTTTTATATGTTTTTAGGCGAAATAAAAAATTATCAAGATTGAAACAATATAAGATTTTAATTAGACATTTTTAGAGAATTAAGGATTATTTCAAGTGATTTTTCAATTATTCAAGACTAAAGATAAAACTTTATTTTCTTTTTTATATTTTTAATTCCAACAAAAATATTTTTTAAATAGTTTTATGTTAATAGGAAAATCCACCTAATGTTGGGCTAGTAGGTCAGCACGTTTACAATGCGCGCGTGCGCGCACACACACACATATATATATATATATATTATATGTTCATATAATCTCCCAACCAAAAAAAATATTCTTTTTATCTGACACCAAACAATATATTTATCCATCTACTTTACTAAAACCTTTTTAATTCAACAAATTTACTTGTTTTCGTAGGTAAAATCACGAAGTTAATCATTTAGATCCAAACATAACATGGGAGCGCTCGTCCATTTCCACTCAATATTCGTTCAGATCTCAAAGTATATTCCGGTGTTTTCTCTACATGCATACATACATGCGTACAATAGAGCCGTTTTAACGGGTGTGCAACTGGAACAATCGTACAGGGCCCCACTTTTAAAAGGGTTTCATATTTATTTATTTTTAAATTATATATTTATTTTTTTATAATTTATTTATTATTACAAAATTTTAAAATATAATTAGAGAATAGTTATAGTGACTAATATTATTGCCATTTTAATATTTTAATTTTTTATATTTTTAAAATAAAATTAAAATTTTTTATCATAATCTTTTTAATTTGATTTTTTAAAATCTTTTTCTCTTTATATATAATTTGAAATTTGATGTCTTAAATTAAATTAATAAATTTACAGATTTGTTAGGTACTTTTTATTTTAGTTATTTATAGTTAAATTAAAAAATTTATAATTTATAATTTAACGTCGTAAATTATATCGTACCCCAAAATTGTTTGAGATGGCTCTATACATACATACATACAATAGATTAAATTACAGCATTAACTATAGCCAAGCAAACTGATGAAACGAAAGAGACCAAACATGGAGAAGACAAGCAGAAAGAAAGACCCTTTATTCCATATCTTCTGATACGTCGCTTTTCAGGGAACAGAAGAAGAAGAAGATCTAAAGCCATGATTCCGACATTGAAACTAGGGTTTTGAACTCAAGACACAGAAAAACAACTCAAAACACCTGAAAGCTAGGGCCCCCTCTCCCTCTATGTTTCAGCCATTCTCTGTATCCACATTTCATCTAAGAAGATGAGTTCTTCTGCACCCACTCCACGAGCGTGGCTACACCAAAACCGGTCGCAGCCTTCTTCTTATCGTTCCAAACCGGTCCCGCCATGTCTATATGCATCCACTGCACCTTCTCGCTCACAAACTGTCCGGAAAAAAAAAAAGACATTCCTTTAGTTCTGAATTCACCACAACAGTTTCATCGTTTAGGGTTTAACCTGTTTCAGGAAGAGAGCTGCAGTGATTGCACCACCAGGACGGCCACCTGTGTTGACCATATCAGCCACACCTGACTTCATTGACTCCCAGTAGCTCTCTTCCAATGGCATTCTCCATAGCTTCTCTCCACTGCTCTGAGACGCATCGAAGATCTCGTGTGCCAGTTCTTCACTGGGTGTAAAGCAACCTGACCAAAAAGAAAAACACCCATCAATCCATTGATCATGAACGAACGTTAACCAGCTTCTTTCCATGCGAAAGTTGCCATCTTTTGCTTACTCTTGGCTAAGATATGAATCAGACGAAAGGTGAGTGATTTGATTTCTTCGGTGTTAAAACTATTTACCTGCAATTGTTGGTCCAAGAGCAACAACACATGCTCCCGTCAACGTTGCGAGGTCAATAACCTGGCGAAGATAGTTCACAGATTTTGGTACACAAGCCAACAGAAAGAATGGCCACGGAAACAGCAGAAGAGAAAACCATCACAAGCATCTTCTCCCATTGATACCTTATCCACACCCTGGTTGCAAGCATACACCAGAGCATCGGCAAGTGTAAGTCTTCCTTCAGCGTCAGTGTTGTTGACCTTCACAGCAGGATACAACAGTAAGAAGATCGAATTCTATTGTTTATCTCAATAGAACACATTGAATAAGCATGAATCCTAAGCAGAGTACCTCGATAGTCTTTCCATTTGAGGCCGTGAGAACATCACCGGGTCTCATTCCAGTCCCACTTATCATATTCTCACAGGCCGCAACGATGAAATGAACCTGGTTTTCGCTTACGTGTTAAAAACTCTTCAAGCAGCGATGAATTTGATGGGTGAAAACCTTTACCTCAACACCGGGAGGCTTAATTTGACCGATGGCTTTAGCAGCACCAAGAACTGCAGCTGAACCTCCCATATCAAACTTCATGAGCTCAATGGAACAGCCGGGTCCGGTCTTGATGTTGTAGCCGCCACTGCAGACAAAACAAACATCGAATTATCCAAAAACGAAGCAAAGGGCACAGATATAACAAGATGGGAGAAACATAGAAGAGAACGGTTCTTGTAAATTTACCTGTCAAAGGTCAAACCTTTACCAACAAGAGCAAGCTTTCTCTTAACAGGTCCACTTGAAGGTCTGTAGAGAAGATGAATGAAATGTGGAGGATTCGCCGAGGCAGCAGCTACACCGAGATAGGAACCCATCTTCAATTCTTTGCATTTCTCCTCGTCCAAGATATTTGCAGTGAGAACATCGCTGTACAATGAAGCAAGTTTCTTTGCTTCCTCGGCAAGAGCAGCTGTCAAATAAGAAATGGTAACACATTAGATTGAGTCACGGCTCAGTTCAGGGCAAAGCGCTGTTTTTGTAAGGCCATGACGCTCAGTGAAACAATCCGTACCAGGGGTCAGTACATTGGCAGGAGAATTGACGAGTTCCTTGCCGAGAATAACACCGGAAGAAACATCTTCGGCATACTTCAGCTTCTTCTCTAGTTCAGGACCAGTTCCAAAGCCGATGATGTCCACAGATTTGAGAGATGGTTTCTTCGATTCTGTCTTATACCTGATATCTTCATAGATGCCGAGCACAGTGCCTGTCATAGTACAGAACACAATCCCAACAGACAAATCAGTTCCAAACCCTAATGGAACACAAACTCACCCTAAAGCTAATCACAAAACAAGCACCTGAAGCAATGGCAGAAGCAGAAATGAGCTTAGATTCATCAGAAACACTCTCTGGGGATGCAAGAGCAATAGCGACATTGCTAGCTTGAGCTGATTTTGCAGCTGCAGCAACAGCCTCACCGAGGCTCTGAAAAGTCGATGGAGATGAAATTTTGGATCCGAGACCGATCAATCCGACCCGCTTTGACCCGAGACCCGGAAGCCTCAGAACCGTTGACTGGCCTGGTTTTCCGGCGAAATCCTCCTCGGACGAGACTTCTGCAAGGAGTCCACCCAAATGATCGTCGAGCTTCTTCAAGATCGGGTTCTCGAACTTTGAGTTGTCGTCCTTTTTCATGTCTTTCTCCGTTACACCAACCGCGAGTATGTCTCCCTTCCACTCTGTCATATCGACGTCTTTCGCTGAGAACGAGATCTGCATGAGACAACAAGGACGCGGCCAAACAAGAATTTCAGACAGTGAATCGGTCACGAGCTAAGCAAGTCCACCGATCTCCAAAACTAGATCAATCAATCGAAGAAAAATCACTCTATCAGAAGCTACTACAATCGATTTGAAATCGCAGATCCAGAAGTTCGTAGAGACGAACAGGTATCCAAACAAAGAATCCGGTGAAAGCAATAGAGAAGAACCTTAGGAGGGTCGATGGAACTGGGCTGAGTGAGGCCAAGGGTGGCGCGTGCGAGGGTATGAGCCATGGCTCTGGCTCTGGAAGAGGAGTAGAGCGGATTGACTGCGAAAGCGAGCCTGAAACCAGGCGAAAACCAGAATCTCGAGAAACGGGAAGAATAAGAAGAAGAGAAGGAGCGAGAATGGGAGAAGAGAGATGGCGAAGAAGATGAGAGAGAAGAAGTGAGAGACGCAACGAGAGTGACGGCCATTCGAAGCACTGTAAGCTGCTTGTATTTATAAGGACGATGCCGTATCTTTCTTTATCCTTTTTTCCGGCGAGGATTACTATTTCACTTGCATATCATGCCATCTGGTACCGTCGACCCGGTTCGGTTCGAACCGGCCCGGAACGGGTCAAACATTGACCGGAAATTTTAGAAAATAGTAAAGGAAATTAAAAAATGATATAAATTATGAAATATTGTATAGCAAGGTTATATGAGACACATAGTGTATAAGTTTTATCAAATTGGATGTAAATGAGGCTTGACCACACATCGATTATAGATACAACTGTAACAGCTTTGTATATAATTGTCCGAAATTCAGAACATATGTCTCACATTGATGAAAATATATGTTTTTAAATTTTATTTTTATTTTGCACAAATATTTGTCTCTATAGTTTGCTGGAAAAATTCATATATAGTTTTATCTAATAGTTTTTCATAAAACATTGTAATGGGTAACAGTTTAAATGGAAGGAGATAATAGCATTATTATGCCAGGATGAAATTTAGAAGGTCATTCGTAACGTAAAATGCATGAGATTCATCACAAAATGTATGTATACATATATGTATGTATGTATGTATATAGGGAGTGATGTACTACAATGTTTATACAAAAAAATCATAAATAAAAAATACAGGATTTAATGGAAAAAATATATATAAACTCAAGTTTATGATGAGGAAGGCATGAGTTTCTTGAGGAAGTGAATAGGGTGAGAGTCCTGAGGGGCTACACGGTCAAAGCCGATGTAGTTTTCTTGTTCGGAGTAGAGATGGCAAACTGTCATTATTGTCTTCATCAACCTCCAGTTCCATGCAGCCAAGCTTGTGTACTGAAACATCCATGTCCAAATCCAACCATTCATCAAGAAATGAAAAGATTGAACACTTGGTTTCCGGGGATCTTTTATTTGATTTCTCCTTTACCTTTCCCCAGTTCTCTTGGATAGATTCATGAGCTGCTCGGAGATTGTAGCTCGGTATTCTTGGACTAACGTGATGCGGGATGTGCACATTTATATCATGGCAAAGAACTTCGACCCTACAAACCCAAAAGTAAGAGAAATTATGGCCGAAGAATCGGAGAAATCATACACAAAATCATACCAGCTCGGGTAGTCACAGTGAACGGTTCCACCCAGCTGGGCCTGAGCTGCGTTCCAGTCGTTCTCGGGCTTGAACGGGATATGAGGAGCCGTATGATGAACCATCGTGAATGTGCTCATCTACGATAGAGACGCAAAAACTCAAAAAACCCGATCATACACTCGGTTTTCGGATCATGAGAAGGCATGAGAAGCTAACCCAGAAGTGATAACCCAACCATGGCATCAACCAGAATTTGATCCATCCCCATACACCAGCCTTGTATATGATCAATGGCCATCCAACCGCCATGAACGCAAAAACACAAGCCAAGCTTATCCTCACCCTTTTCCTCTCGCTCGGTCTGAACTTGTTCAGATCGAAATGCCACACCAACCTATCATTACAACACTTTTGAGAGACAGAAAATGTATATATAAAAAGGACAAAACTTGAATCAAGATTCTGACATACCAGTGAGCTATGGACATCCAAGGCCGGAATGGGCCGTATCCGTATATGATAGCCTTTCGGAAAATAGGTTTCGAATCGAACTCCTCTTGCCTGATAGGGTGCCAAGCTGTATCTCCAGTCAACCTACCGATATACAGAATAAGAATACGTAGCCGGAATTATATATCCTTGCTGATGGATGGAACGGTAACAAGCCGACAGATTCAAATGAACATACATGTTAGTTTTGGCGTGATGCTGGTCATGCTTGAAGCGCCATGGCTCGTACGGGTAGATAAGTGGTAGGAAGGCCAGAGTCCCGACAATGTCTTCCAACAATTTGTTCTTCGAAAACGATCTGTGAGCACAGTCATGCCCTATCACAAAGAACTGACAAAACACCGCAAATTAAAGGTTGCATCATTCTTTGAGGAAAACGCCATGAACAAATGACGAGAAACGCATCAAACAAAAAAAAAACAAGAATCTAGAGGTTACCCCTGTAACTGCAGTTCCTGTCCAAGCCCAAGCCAATGGAAGCAGATACCATGGTGCTTTCGCAATCAAGAAGAGTCCCAAAGCATACGAAGTTGCAGATACTAATACCGACTTCCATGCTTTCGCTTCATCGATCTCAAACACCTGACCATCGTGATCAATGGTTCAGAAAAATGAAACATATTGGTGACATTGCAGTGATGTTTGAAGTTTAGACAGAACTCCGAGAAAGGGATTGTATACCTCCTTTGGAAGGGTACCGATGATATCCTTTAAGGTGACATTGTCGGGAAGATCTTCTCCAATCTGCTTGAAGCCGTAGCTTTCTGCTAATTTCTTCCTGTATTCTGCACTGTCTGCCGAGGGCTGTGCAATTGGAATGGCCGCTGCTTTAACACACGAAGTTCTTTTCACTCTTTGATGATTGCTTCCCTTCAACAAGAGATGGGTGGTCCTCAAAGCATATAAACCTGTGTCCAAACAGAACCACATATTCCACTGATTCATCTCATCTCATCTCATGACTCTCGCTCATCAAGCAAAAGCCAAATACCCATTACAGAGAGTTCATCCCTTAGAATTGTTGTTACGATTTTCCATTGGAACTTACAGAGTTACAAGGGCAGAGAGGATTCATCCTAAATGCAAAAAAACTCAGAAGCTGTTGAGATGGACTGGTCCGAAAAGATGCAGAGTTCATAGAGAAAACAAGAAACTTTTTTTGTCAAAAAAAAAAAGAAAACAAGAAACTTTCTGTGCAGAAACCACCTCTTTTTCTTTCCCGCAACAGGATTGAATGTGTTACCCTATCGAATCACACATTGCCAGCTTCTTGAAACACGTTTCAAGGGATAAACGAGCAAAAGCAAATCATCACTCAATGGGGTCTTTTCCCACACCAGAAATATAGGATAGAGTACCTGGAGAAACACGGGAAGAACCCATAGGAACCCTAGGAAGCCATTGGTGCGGACCCTGAAAAGTGAAGTTGCACATGCAAATTCATTGGCCGAAACTTAAGCAGAAAAGATGGGTACTAAGAAAGAACTGCAAAGGTGAAGCCTTTTTACGCTTGCCGTGAAAAGGAAGAGAGAATCAGCAATTCCGCAAGCCATTGAAGCAGAAATTGCAGAAAGTTTAGAGCTTGAAGAAGCCCAAAGACCTCTGCAAGATTTTCGAAGATTGAATGGCTGAGAAGAAAAGGGCCCTCTTTAGGCTCAAAGCTTGAGGGCGGTGAAAGAGAAGAAAGCTAGAGGCTTTAGAGATTATATATATATATATATATATAGTGTTTGAATTTGTTGATTTTTACCTGTATAACGACATAATTATATCATATATTATTAATGGACTTATTTAATATAATTTTTATAACGTTTTTGTCACGTAAGTTTCATCACATTCTCGTGTTTTTTTAGCATCACACACACATTGGTCGCACTGATCCCACGCCGATTTTTTTTTCAAGGCAAATTACCAAATTGAATAGGTGGTCAATGGGCCTTTTATGGGCTATTTAAAGAGCCAAGTAATATATGGGCCGAATAAAGCCCATTCACAAAATGGTACGACAAAATCAAATTACCCATATCTCTAAAGCCAACCCACAATACTCCAATTCACTAAAGACAAAAAAAAATAATAATAAGGATAAAAATTACAAGTCACACTGCATGTGGTATCCAACCAATAATGCTATTGACATGTTTCAATCTACCTTTAGTAGGCCATGATTGAAAGTTTTTCATTTCCTTAATCATATATTAATGCCCCAAACAATGACTTTACCAAACGATATCAAATTGCAAGTATTTTTGGAATAATGGCCCATAAATATTATAATTTTTTTGTTGGTGAATTTTTTAAAAAAAAGTATTCGTTAGACGACAAAAATTATAAGAATCAAAGAAATTTTCATTTATATTATTGATCGGTTCATGAAAAATATGTTTTTATACAAAAATTTATGAACTAAATCAAATTAAAGAGAAAAGAAAATTGGAATAAATTTCTTAACATATAAGAGACGAAATCCCATTTTAGAAAAGAAAAAAATATATATAGAAAGAATATCAAACGACAAAATAATATGAATAATTTGTATGGTTGATCGATCACTATATAATTCCCGTCGTTTTCCTCCTATCATCGTATGTCGGCCGATCTGAATCCGAATACGACAATTTTTGTTGTAAAATAATTTCACAGATACGAATAAACCAAGGCTAGACACGCATTGTGATTAAACTTAATTAAAAATGTTTAATAATTAGAGAAAGAATTATTCCAAAGTTTGTCGAGGATATGATTACGACTTCACATCCATTGGTGATGTTTGTTCTTCTAAAGTAATGAGCAAAGTTAGGACTAATTTTACGTCAATCACTTGTTTTAATTTTAAATAATAATAACTGGCATGAACGAAGATTCTGAAGATTAAAGGATTTTAAAATCTTGTTCGTAGAAATATGAAAATTACGAAATCTCCAAGTAAAATATGGGGGGTATTGAAAAATAAAATGCGGAAATTAAATTAGAAAGAAAGAACAAAAGATGAAAAGAACGAGAATACTTTTATTGCTACATCTCTTCTTTCTTCTTGTTACATTACAATGAAAATAATCCATACATTTATAGGAAAAAATATTGAAAGAAACAAGGAAATAAAGATACGAAAGAAACAAATAAGGCAAAATATAATTATCACGATATATATTTTATTCTTAATCGATATTATGCCTTTAATTGTTATCAATCATATCAAATCTCCATATTTTGTTTCTATTTCAACATTCTCCCTCAAGATTGATTTTGAAAGAATTCAAAAATCAATCTTGAAGATACAACAAAATGATGAAAAACTTCACTGTTATTAGAACAATCCATAGAAACCAAATTTCATTCATTTAGAGAGTATTAACCTCTTTCAAATCACTTCGCTTGACTTTAAAGTTCTAGCTTTAACTCTTTTTGTCATAGCATCTTGCTTGATCTTAGAGTTTTTAGCTTTGACTTCTTTTTGTCATAGCACATCGTTTGAATCTGGTTTTTTTACTCTCCCTTTGAACGATTTGGATATATGAACATCCAAAACGCAAAAGAAAGAAGAGATTAGAAATTTAGAAAAAGAGAAACATATAGTTCAGATCGCAACCAGGCTCTGATACCATATTGAAAAATAAAATGCGGAAATTAAATTAGAAAGAAAGAACAAAAGATGAAAAGAACGAGAATACTTTTATTGCTACATCTCTTCTTTCTTCTTGTTACATTACAATGAAAATAATCCATACATTTATAGGAAAAAATATTGAAAGAAACAAGGAAATAAAGATACGAAAGAAACAAATAAGGCAAAATATAATTATCACGATATATATTTTATTCTTAATCGATATTATGCCTTTAATTGTTATCAATCATATCAAATCTCCATATTTTGTTTCTATTTCAACAGGGGGGAGCAATTTAAATATATTGTTTGGGAATGCTTTTAATGGTTTATCGTTGCATAATAAATAATTGCAGCCATATATAGTTTGTGGCACATTTATGTTATGATTATAATAACCTAATTATAAACATCAATATGTACAATGTAACCCACATAGGATTCGATCAAACAAGGACGGACGATCCCACCATTTTTAATTTAATCTGTAGAATATTTTCTATATATGTATATATAACGAATAATGAATTAACTTGTAACTCATTTCACGTGCATCCTTCACAATATTATATTATATGTTATATTTACATGAGATGCGACACTATTATCACAAGCAGGTTGCTAAATCTCTTTTGCTTTTATCCCTGAAAAAACTTCATTTATTTTCACTTGGATATTTTTCATATATCTGCAATTAAACTATTATAGTCTAATAAATATAACAAGCAACATTAAAACAAAAAAAAAAGAATAAATCAAAATTAGCGTCTATACTATCACGAATTCGAATTTCAAATTTGTGAAGGAGACATGTATTCCAAATGATATGACTAACCATCCATTCCGAGATTAGTTTAGAACTTGATCTTATAAAAAAAGTAATAATAATTTTTTTTATGGTTTAAGATATGAAAGTAAAATCCATCTCTCAAAGTTATGGATTTATGAGGGAAAACTTGCTTAAAAACACATCTTTTTAGTGTCTGAATATTGCATTAGGAGAGATAATAATTTGATTCGATTATATAAGCTACAAGACATGGAATCAAAGACAATAGATTTAGTTATAAGATTTATGTGCCAAAGCTATCAAATGTAGAAATAAACCTTCAATATATTGCATAACATATAATCTATAATGCTCTTATTTAACCGGTCTCTAAAATTATATAAAATTCCATAGAAAAACAAATGCTAAATCCCTAATCAAAATTAATCAGACCAGATCTAATTACAAGAAATACCAGCAGGTTACGCTACAGGCACATTGTTTTTTTTCTTTCTTTCTTTTCTATGGTTGAAAGTTGAATTCAATGGGCGCAGAGTTTCGGCATTTAAGTATCGGATTTTTTTTTGATTTTATATATGTACAACAGATATATACATACATACATGTACATGTGGAGCTTGCATGCACATACGTACAAGTGCATGGTGCGAGATGGTCCACGGGCAGCCGCAGTCGCAGTCGCAGTCGCAGACGCAGACGCAGAGCCGCCCAAATGAATCACTGGTGGTGTGTGTGATGGGCAAAATGGCTGAGCCTGTTTCTGTGTCGAGAGACATTGAATGGAAAATAAAAAATGCTTACTTCGCTTCTTTATTTAAAATTATTTATTTTCTGATTTCTAAAACCTGCAATTCTTATCGAAAACGAGAATCATCGATGAAGAAATATAATTAAAAGTTTTCACTTTCATAATATAATAAAATTTCTAAATGTTTTATTTTTTAAAGTTTTACATAAGGTATTATTTAGATTTATTTTTTAATAAAATCCTTTTTTTTTCAATTGTACATAATGATTTTTAATTTAGTTTTGAAAATATGATCCATAATGGTTTTTTAAATCATATTCTATTAGTAGATTTAATCCGATTGTATACAACTGAATCGAAATTTTTTTAAAATATATAGAGGTAACATTTTTTGTAACAATACTTTTAAAACACAAAATTATATTTTTTTTATTAAACTTTAATTATACTTTTAAAACATATATATTATATTTGCTTCGTACAGGAAAGTTGTATATATAATAAATTCGACCATTCAATGCAAAACCTAAGTTTTCGATATAAAATTTTTCAACTCGACTTCAATCACTTGTATCGATTTAAGTATATAATCATAATATTTGTTAGCTAACAAGAGTCGAATAATCATTTTCACGTTTAATGGTGATCAAATGGTCCTAAGACACGTGTCAACGTGGTAGACCTTCTGGTGGTCCAAAATATAAATAGTGTTGTATTTATACATATACAAACACATAAATACGTAGATACATACGAAATTCAAGATGGGGAAGCCTCTGATGATTCACCTCGCTGTCCCAATCAACCAAATCACATATGTTTGTTAGCTATTAAATTGTGAGATGTTTTAACAAAATTTAATTATAATTTATAGTTGTGTTTATGATTTAGCAGATTTTTTTCACATTGATCTAATGATTAATTTCAACTCACAAAATTATCTAAAATTTTAATCCAATACGTATTACAAAAGTCGCCTATGATATCAACAATATGATGATAAAATAAACGGAAAAAAAAATATTAGAAGGAAACCAAATTTTGGCCTGGTTTTGAGGTTGATTTTATTAATTTTATATCCACAAATGTCATATTTAATTCATGTTTGATAACGTTTCCCCAAAAATTAGCCGGTTTAGTCGACTTTCCCCGAGAACTTTGTGGGCCCCAGAGAATTATCATGAAAATTATGACGGCTAACACTTACCCCTCGACGAAGGGGTAAAAGTGTAAATTCAATGGCAGAGTCCCTCAACAAGCGCCGGTAGTATCAGGACACGTGTCACGCAGCTCCCTCCAATTATTGGCAAACCTGAAACCACCAACAGCGAAGAAACCGACACTTGACGGTCACTAATTGGAGCTTAAACGACGGTGTGATCACCGATCGCTAATAAGGGCAATTTCGGAATTCCAGTTGCCCTAACATCTATATAACCACTACTCTTTCGAGTATCGTTCCGGGGAAAAAAAAGAAAAAGAAAAAAGAAAAACAGAGAGAGAGGCAACAATAATAATATCTGGGAGTTTGATTCGAGTGAAATCGAATTCGGTGTTTCTCTCTCTTTTTCATCGAAATCGGAGGGAGGAAAAAAGCCCTTGAAGGGAATGCAGAGAAATGATCGGAGTTTCGCCGGTGAAGAAGACTGAGCTGTGTGGTCGGTTCAACCGGTCCGTTAGCGGCAGGAATTGCCACCGGAAACACGTCGAGGACGGGTGATCGATCCGATTCGCTCCTCGAATATTCATTTTCGTCTTCATTCGATCTGAGCTTGTATTTTTTTTTCTCTCAAATCTCGCCTGAAGAAATGGCGGAAACCGGTTCCGACGGCGGCGGAGGAGCAAACCCGGGTCTGCTTCATGGGAGATACGAACTGGGTCGGCTCCTAGGACATGGAACGTTCGCGAAGGTGTACCACGCGAAGAACGTTCAGACGGGGAAAAACGTGGCGATGAAGGTTGTCGGGAAGGAGAAGGTGATGAAGGTGGGGATGGCGGAGCAGATCAAGCGAGAGATCTCCGTCATGAAGATGGTGAAACATCCGAACATCGTCGAGCTCCATGAAGTGATGGCGAGCAAATCCAAGATCTACTTCGCCATGGAGCTCGTCCGAGGTGGAGAGCTCTTCGCCAAAGTCGCCAAGGGTCGTCTCCGTGAGGACGTGGCTCGAGTCTACTTCAAGCAGCTCATCTCCGCCGTCGATTTCTGCCACAGACTCCGCGTCTACCACCGCGACCTCAAGCCGGAGAATCTCCTCCTCGACGAGGAAGGGAATCTCAAGGTCACCGACTTCGGCCTTACCGCCTTCTCCGACCACCTTAAACAGGACGGTCTGCTCCACACCACGTGCGGAACTCCGGCGTACGTTGCGCCGGAGGTCATCGGGAAAAAGGGCTACGACGGCGCCAAGGCAGATCTCTGGTCGTGCGGAGTCATCCTCTTCGTGCTTCTCGCAGGGTATTTGCCGTTTCAGGACGGCAACCTCGTCAGCATGTACCGGAAGATCTACAGGGGGGATTTCAAGTGTCCTCCATGGTTTTCCTCCGACGCAAGAAAGGTCGTGACGAAGCTCCTCGACCCGAACCCGAGCTCCAGAATCTCCATCCAGAAGGTGATGGAATCTTCCTGGTTCAGAAAACCCATCCCGAGACCCACCGGAGGAACAACGACAGACGAAGAACTCGTCACTGTCGGAGGAGGGGGAGGGTACAGAGGCAAGGAGGAGACAGAGACCCTGAACGCGTTTCACATAATCGCGTTGTCGGAAGGGTTCGATCTGTCGCCACTGTTCGAGGAGAAGAAGGAGGAGAAGCAGGAGATGAGGTTCGCTACCACAAGGCCTGCGAGCAGCGTGATATCGAGGCTGGAGGAGGCGGCGAAGGCGGTGAAGTTCGAGGTGAGGAAGAGCGAGAGCAGAGTGAGGATGCAGGGGAAAGAGATGGGTCGGAAGGGGAAGCTGGCGGTGGAGGCGGAGATCTTCGCGGTGGCGCCGACGTTTCTTGTGGTGGAAGTGAAGAAAGACAACGGAGATACGTTAGAGTACAACCAGTTCTGCAGCACGGCTCTCCGACCGGCTCTCAAGGACATTGTCTGGACGTCAACCTCTGTATGAATCGCGAGTTCGTTTGTGTAATATATTCGTCGATTGATGTTCCAGAATCATCTAGCATCGTATTCGCAGTAGTTGTTGAATCTTGATCTCAATCAAGAAAAGGTTTCCATCTTTTTTCCGTTCAGACAACTGAAATTAGAAATCTAGAATCATGATGATGATGGTGTGTGATGGTTGGGAAATGGGTCTAAAGATCCTCTCTTCACCTTCATTCAATTATATGGACCGCCTCTACCAAGTTCAAGAGTCACTTTTTTTCCTGACTCGATTGAATCAATACGTTTTTGGATGAGGACGGAATCTTTTGGTAATACAGGATGCGTAGTCGCCAACGATCGAATAGTCATCAGTATCGTGATCGTCCTAGTGTAAAAGAGGTGCGGAAAATTAAGTTCTTATAAAGTTACGAGTGTCTTTCCCCGGTACACTAATTTTTGGGTGAATTCTATTCATGGGTCTTGAAATTTAGTTGAATCTGTTTGAGAAGGTCATTTTTGGCTCGTTTATGTTTATCTGTTTCGTGTGGTTTGTAGGCTATTGCGTGGAGTCAGAAATTTACGAGTCAAATAGTGTCCAATCCAAAACACTTGTGAGACGGTGGTTTCTCACCGTTATAAAAAAAATAGTTAGGATCCATTATAAATGAGTATAGCTCTTATAGTGTGGTTAGAGTACTCCAATAATGTACACACAACTTTCGTCTTATTAAAAAATATAATAATAATAATAATAAACTATTACTATTTTCTAGGTGACAGATATGAGCTTTCGTTTATAAAAAATTATAACAATTTGGTTTTTATATAACCTTCAGTTTGGTTCGATTATTTTTCGATTCGTATTCAATTTTTTGTTATAAAAAACTCATATTTTTAAAAAAAATTATTAGATTTTTTGGATTTACAAAAATCATAACGGTTCGATTTTTATATCGGATTCAATTCGATTATAGTTATAACTTATTCGATTCATTTTATTTCAATTATTCGATTAATAACCAAAATGATCAGCCGTTACCATTGTGACCACGAGATTTATGTCCAAAAGTTTTAGTATGCTCGGATCAATATTCGAAAATACTATTATATACTCGTGGGTTTCTGTATTTAATATGACTGTTCCAAAAAATTATTCGGATATTCCTAAAAAAAGGTTCAGAGTAAAATTGTAACTTTTAATAATCATTAGAAATATTTTTAGAAGTTTTTGAAAAGACAAATGAAAAAACTTTAATTTAAAAAAAAATAAACCTATCTTAATAATGTTAAAAAAATATAAAAGATATTTTTGTAATTAGATGATATATGTTTAACTGGTCGAAAAAGTTTTAAAATTCAAATCCGGATCGAATCTAAAAACAATCTTAATGTATATAAATTCAAAATCGAAGTGTAAAATTGGTAACATTATCCATTTCTACATATATTGACTCTGTCCACAAAAACGCAAATGCTGCCAAAACATGTGATCCCACTTTCTTCTCACATGTGGTTTCTTATCCATTCATTATATATACACATATATACATATATATATATACAATGCGTTGTTTATATAACAAACAGTACTAAATACGAAACTTGTGTTAGAGAGAATACGAAAAAGTTCAGAGCTTATAGTAAAATATTATTTGTGTAATTAGTTCTAATGGATTGAGGTTTATCATCATTACGATTCTGATCTGTCACAGTGTATACATGTGTATGCTGTTAGATTAGACATGCATTTGATCATCCGTATTTATATCATGTGATGGGTTCTTTACTTGTCCCAGGTTGATGTCTCGATATTCGATTCAGAATTTTAGGTGTTCGGTTTGAGAATAGTTTATTCGGTATTTTAAAATTTATACCAAATTAATACTGTATATTATCCAGTTCGGTTCACTCTCGGTCTCGATATAGTTCAGATTCGGTTTTTGTTAAAAAATTATTTTTTAAAAAAAAAATTTGGTTTTTCGAAATTAAAAAAAAAATAGCGATATTTTCGGTTTGATATAGTTGGGTTCTTAAAAAACGAAGGGAAACATTGACCTCTAACAAGTTAGGGATCTATTCATTTTATTTAGTAATTATATCTCCCTTGGCGGACCAAGATTCATTAGAAATCATATGACGAAATAAATATCATCGTTACAAATCTTTTTAACTCGATCATTTTTTCTATAATCGATCACTTCCTTTTTTTTTTCTCCTTAGCTTTCATACATAACACTTTGAATAATTATTTTTTGTACGGATATGCAAATAATAGGGTTTAGTGGGTGCTCATTCTTGTAAACAAGCTTTGACTGCTATATGTGATTTTAAAATTTTAAAAGGCTGACTGTTTTTTCATTTAATTTAATGATTAAAATATAACAGATTGAATTCGAATTGGAATCTTATATATCATAAATTATATTCGATCGGTGTTTTTAGATATGTTATGGGCTACTATCGGTATTTGAACCACGGGTTCAACAAATCTCTGATATTATGTGTAATTTTTGAATAAATGAATACTAATAGGGTGGGATTTGATGCGAAATTAATTATAACAACTATAATTATTTTTCTATTTGGAAGAGACGAAGGGATCTTATCTAAATGTGGACCCTCCTCAAAGGCCTGATTTGCTTGTCAACGCAAATTGTAAATTAGCAAATAATGATACTATTAATTTGTATAAACAAATTGATTATTTTTCAGTGAATTAAGTTACAGAAATGGTGTCGGTGTAATTCTTGGGCCTCGGATAATAAAATAACGACGATAAAATATTCACTTTTGGATCCAAATAATTGTTGTGGTTCGTGTTATACATTAAAAGCCCATTTTACTTGGGGGTTGATGTAAACGAAAAAAAAAAAAGAAAAAGAGAGAATATAATGAGAAATACATGGATTCTTCCACAAAACTCTCACTGTTAATATAATATAATTATATATACGAATTCACAATGCCGTGAAAAATATAAACGTAAAAAAGACCTAAAAATATTTTAAAAAACTAAATTATAAAGAAATTCAGCTGGATCACAAAGCCACCACAATATACGTCCTTTGATAAATTCTCCGTCACTTAAATTAAGAACTATTTAATTAATATGATAAATTTATATTAATCCAAGACATTTTCCGCAAACATTAACATTGTCCATAACTAGGATGTCAATCGGGCCGGAGGTTTTAGGTTTGGGTCGACCCGTTTTTTGGGTCTATGTAGTTAAACCCGAAATCCATGTAGTTAAACCCGAAGTCCGATAAGATAATTTTCTTTGTAAATCTTATTTTTTTTAAAAAAAAATTGAATTTTCGGGTCGGTCTGATTCGAGCCTGAAACCTGAATCGAGTTCGGCCCGAAAGTTCGATTTTTTTGGACCAAAAAACTTAGGCCCAAAACCCACTAATTTTTGGATTGAATAACCTCAAACCTAAATTGACACCCTATCTATAACACCAAATTCGAGCCGTAATGTTTGTCTTCACCCACAAAAACCAACCAAGATCCTCCATTACTAAGACGTTCTATCCCTCCATTTTTTGTATTATTATTAGTAGAGATGTATTATTATTCGAGAAAGTTTTAAATAAATATAAGAAATTTGTTCAAATTTTATTAGTAAATATATGAATTTTTTTATCTTACAAATAATATATCAATTTGCAATTTTCTTCTAAATTTTTATATGAATTCTAACGATGTCAATTGGATAACATGGTAACCAAGATTCAGATGATAGTCTAACCAAGATTACTTACCGGGTTATTCACATCAACATAATGGTAAAAAAAATTCATATCATTAAAAATAAAAATAAAATAATAAATAATAAATAATGATCAAATGATAGTCTATTCGTTTTTTATGAACTGGTTGGTCCATTTTTTTTTAAAATTCGATTATGGCCTTGGAAAAATCGTATTAGTTTGATCCAGATCCGAATTTCAACACACCTAACCTAGGAATTTTAGAGATCTCTAAGCGTTCACAACGAGTTCTAGGGTTCCAATTTTGGGTTTCACGCAACATAATATATAAAACGAAATCCAATCAACCGATCTCACATACGATGATAAAGGTATCGATATACAATCTATTTCGATCTAAAAACCAGTCACAGATGATAAAATCAAACGCTCTCTACAACTAGTCCACATTCTCGGACTTGTATCTGCTAGAATACGATCTGAAGGTCGGGAACGAAAACTTCGACCGCAAGAGAGAAGGAGAAAATAAAATATGATTTTCTTAATCACTTACCAATTATGTTTTCTAAACATATAATTATAAAGAGAATTAAGATTTCATTAAACCTATTGGATTTATTGGACCTTCAACTTAACGAGAACTAAAATCCATTAGCCTTATTAATAAATGTATGGGTCCATTGGATCACATAAACTCATCTAATGGACTTAAACCCATCCAATGAATTTCTAAATAGTTTCATAAACCGATCGTGACCAGAACACCATATCCATTACTAATTAATAACTTTTTTAAATCCCTACATTAATCTTCCATCAGATATTATTCATAATGTTTTTTTTTTGTAACAGGTAACCCATCGCACAGTCCTTCGGACAGGACAGACTGATAATATGTCACGAAAGATGTGTGTTTCGCATACCCTAAAAAGAATCAAACCCTAAGCCTAATAATTCAACACGAAGTACAACCCCTTAGTACAAAAATTCAACAATTGAGAATCTTTGTGTACGTTTTGAGTACAAAACTGTGGATATAATGTCGATTAGGGCACGTGGACCATACCCACAATTCATACATACATATATATATATATATATATATATATTCATTTCAACTTGGATTTATTTTCATTATCTCGTTCCCCCTTGCAATGAAAAGTTGAAAACCCTATTTCGTTATTGTGATCGTACATCTCATTATTCCCCGTTTTTCCTCTCTCATGCAACTCTGTGTTTTTTTTTAAATTCTATATTTTTTTTTAAAACAGCAAAGTTTTGTAATTTTATAAAATTCCGATTTAAATGTTGATTATTGAAAATATGAATGTTAAAATGATGGTATAAACAGTTGAAAAATTAAAATATAACAATACACGAAGTTTTTTTTTGCAGTTTTCCTGTACATAAACCCTATGTAAATACCACACCATATGTATAAAAACATTTTTATATTTGCTGTATAATCATAATATTCAATTTGAAATACCACGCTTTCACATACACAGATGGGAGATTCAATGCATCTTTCGTATAATAAGGTTTTTAATCACGAGACCGGACATATCCATAGAGTTTCGTTAAGTTTCTATCATTACGAGAATTTTATGATATTAAAAGATATTAATATTAATTAAATCCTTAAATTATTATTTCTCTTTTTTTTTTCTTAGTTGTCTTCATCCACCAATTGAAATTGCTAATTCCTGGTTTGCACGAGTTTCAGAGTTAGCAGTTGTACCGTGGTACTAATGACCATACCGTTTTTCATGTCATCAAATGATTAATTAAGCTTTGTTTTCTGCAAATCCATATTAAGCAATTATTAGTCCATGGCTATTATCTTATTGATTTGATAGTTTTAATTAAAATATCAGGATTCGTACTTGTTAACTTTTAAATTTGTCCCCACCAACAAAATAAAACAATATCATATTATTGAAAATTCAAACGTTAATGGCCACATTAAATTAGGGTTTCTCAACCACTCAAACCTATCAAGTGGTCGAGCCATTAGTAAATTTCAAATTAAAAAAAAATAGGAAAACGATTATACATTGGTGCGAGTTAATGGAGCCGTTATCATTAGCTTGGCTTTTAATTAATTTAGTTAGCAAAACAATTATTAATGTGGTTACTGTCACAAAAAACAGAGATTAACAAAGAAAAAATGGTTTCATAATGATATTCATAACTTGAAAACAAAATTTCTATAGAAGTATGTTAAACAATGATTAAGTAAAATTATGTATGTACATATGCACATAGACATCTAAATTAATAGCACTTTCTCCTCCCGTCTTTAGTTGCTGTTTTTCATCATCATCATCATCATCATCATCATCATCATCATTATTTATTTATTATAAAATTCTCTTCACATCACTCTTTCTCCATCATACGTTCTCGTGTTTTTGTTTAACAAATTTCTATAATCTGAATTTATTTGGGGAGAATTCGAGAATAAAGGAACTCGAACATAACTTTTTTCTGTAAGAATATTTTCAGGCCTTTTTTATTTGTTGAATTCAAATATTCATGGGATATTCGATTTACTAATATAAAAAAATCGAATATCGATAATTCATCGGTTGGAGTTTGCAAAATAAAAGATATTACTTGATGCGGGGATGTTGTATTCTTTTTATTCAACCTTCTTCTTATTGTTCTTATTCAAGGCATAAGAAGAATATATATATATATATATATATATATATATATATATATGTATGTATTTGTGTTTGTCCAAATCCAACTTTACCGGGTGTTAGGGTGTAGCACACGCACCACCTTTACCATTGGTCTCACCAATTAAGACTAGTCTCATGACCCAATTTCACAAAGACTGGACCAGCCCTTATCCAATCGCATGTGGACACGTGTCAGTCGTCCCTTAATTCACGCCGCTGGATAGGAAGGGAAAAGAAGGGAAAAAAACGAAAAAGGAAAAACCACTGTTTGCGCAATCTAGGCATCCTCCTCCTCTCTCTCGAGCTCTCTTTCTATATATACGACTATGTCGCCATTGCTGACGATGCAGTCAGAAGAAAACGATACAATAACCCAGAAATCGAGGACAAGAGAGGAGGGTTATTTTGCTTTCATGCCCACTGCGATGATACAATAGGGTTCGTGAGACCTGTTAGAAACGAAATGAAAGTCGACTTCTTTCGAGTAGAATCCTTCTGGGTTTGGTCGATAATTGGGGCTCATGGAGCTTCCATGGTGGATTTTGAAGCATTCTTGCAGATAAGGTGACTGAAGAAATGCAAAAGAGAGACTGACAGAAGAGAGTGAGCACACGCAGGCATTTGTATGAGACCATACCATTGCGTGTGCGTGCTCACGCTCTTTCTGTCAGTTTTTTTTAACTCGATCATTTTTTTTCTTTCCAAGGTAAAACGTCGTTATGACATCATCACTACACAGTTTGGTTCTTATCTTCAACAGCAATTCCGTTTTTGTCTTCTTTTAGTCTTCTTTGTGTGCTTTGGTTGGTGATATGGATAAGATCGACACAATTTCATGAGCTTTTGATATGTGTGTGCTTGTGCGTGTGTTTTTTTGTGGGCTTTGCTGTGTTTGAAGTGGGGAGCAAACGTGTTCATATTGGGTCGGCATTTTTATGGTGAAAGTTTCGATTTTTATTTTATATTATATGTGGATACAATGTTATATTGTTGATTTTTCCAAGTGAATCTTGGAATAGCGCGAGTTTTGATGGTCCTGCTACGAAGTTTTTTTTTGCAGTTTTCCTGTACATAAACCCTATGTAAATACCACACCATATGTATAAAAACATTTTTATATTTGCTGTATAATCATAATATTCAATTTGAAATACCACGCTTTCACATACACAGATGGGAGATTCAATGCATCTTTCGTATAATAAGGTTTTTAATCACGAGACCGGACATATCCATAGAGTTTCGTTAAGTTTCTATCATTACGAGCACACTTCCTCACCAAAGAACTAATTTTTCTCGAGCTTCTGCACGAACAAATTGTGAGCTTGGATCTTTGTTTTAGTTTCTATTTCTTGTTTCAAAAGCCATTAACACCTACATGCAAGTGGATCAATGGGTGTTTGCTGCTTTTGTGAGCTTCTTTTGTTGCTGCATCTCCACACAAAATCCAGACTGGTATCACCAAATGTGATGAACAATGGTTTTTGCTTGTTATTTTGTGGGGTTATTGGTTAGCTCTAGTTTGTGATTGCCGCAGTTGTCTTCCCTAGCTAGCTGACTAACGAGTAGAAGTGAAGATACCTGGATCAAGTTCGTGGCATTTCCTGCACCGTTTGAGCAGAAACATGAAATTTCTTTCAGAAGGTTAGTTAGTTGGCATCCTCTGAATTCAGATGTTTGTCCTAATTGTTCATATATAGATCTTTTTAGCCCTATATATCTATTGCGAGTAACCTCTTTTGGTCTTTGCTTGAGATTTGTCTTCTCTTCTTTCCTGTGTTACGTGACCTTACAACTTGCTCTCAGGCATAAGAGGACAGTGGTTTTTAGAGGGTAGAGTCTGCTTACTTTGCAAAATTCTTAATTTCCTGATGAATTTGAAGATTGATCCCTTATTGCTGGAAGCTCCTTATGGAGTGAAACGAGGTTAAGGAAAATGTCTATAGTGAGGTTGTTTCTCTTAACTTGAGGAACCAATTGTGTGTGTGTTTTGGTTGTTATGCTGCATTGCATTATTCTTGTGTGTTTGACCGTTGTCATTGTTTTCAATCTAGCCCTTCGGATTTCGCAACCTAATATCGGTAACATGTGGATCCAGTTCAGTCTGCTTTTGGTGGCTGCCGTTGAGAATTCCTGACTCTTTCTTCATTCATTTTGGCTGTTAGTTAATGTCGATCTACGACAACTTTGTCCATTGATTTCCCGAGGGATTGATGAAAGGATTTGCGCTGTGAAACGTAGAATGGATTTACACGAATTCTCGGTCCACAGAACTTCATTTCCTTTCCTCCTTTGGCATGAAAACTCCATATGTATTTTTGAAGTTGCATCTAGTTACAATAGCTAGTTTCCTCTACCGTTTCTGTGTTTGCTCCAAATAAGATGTTTTTGCGGCTTTGATATGAAATTTTCAAGCTGTGTTCATCGTTTTCGTACAAGGGAGACTTGGTATTGATAGCTAATGAATCATCCTGAAATAAGTGATGGTTTTTCCATGGCTGCGATCTTTGTGGTTGCATTGTTAGGAGGGGTGCGCACAATAGCAAGCTGGAACAGAATCGTGCTATCATGCGACCGACCAGGTGTGTTTATTTATATGCCTAATGGGGTTTTATCATTAGTACTAAATCCCGAGATTATTACCCCAATATGTTCATGGAATCTAAGTGGGTCCAGCTTAATTAATAGCAGATGATTATATGCATCAGCCACCCTTAGGTCTTGTCTCTCAGCTAGCAGCTTATGATGTAATAAAAAGATTAATATTGAGCGTAATCCTGCTTATATATGTTATGGATTCTCTAAATTGTGCTTGGTGAAATGAAATTGTAAAACCATAGCCCTTATATCATCTACCAGCTGCTACATATGATTTGTCATGATTGCTTTGAAAGAGAAGAATAATCACTTCATGCCATGTTTCCTTCTAATTCCCAAATTATTTTTCTTTGTACATCTGATCTCAGCAGCATATATATATATATATATATATATATATATCTATGAAATGAAACCCTTGTCGGTTTTTATTGTATTTTGATGAAGGAAATGGCGGTTAAGTCTCCTAAATATCCAAATCCAAATTCCAGGATTCACTTCGGACAAGAACTTGGAATTCTGGGAGGTATAGGGCATTGTCTGATGATGTGTTTTATGTGTATATATATATAGCCTGAGATTGGACATTAATTAGATTTCCAATGTATACAACATCGCGTTTGCATTGTCTTCCTCATGTTCAGGAAAGCTATATATATATATATATATATATATGATGAATCATCACTAGCTAGGTCTTTCACACACTCTTTAAGCAATGTATCTTTTTGCTTGCTTAGCAATGTTTACCAAAAATATAATCTCCAAAGTCAAGTTAATCGGGTTGAACTTTGTATGTCCGCAATCAAACATTGTTCATTTTGATGTATCATGATTTATTATAAATCGTTTTATTATTAATTATTCACTATTCTTAATTAGAACCATCAAACTAAGTGAATATATAATCGGAATCAGATTTTTTAAAAAAAATAAGTTTTGGTGTAACTATGAAGAAGTCGTCGGGAATATGGATCGAAGCCTCATTTAACTATAATATATGATCAATGCACATCATTTCTTCTCTAATTTTTTTTAATATATGCTAATAATTAATTATGGTCGGTCTATTAAATTTAATAATAATAATAATAAATAGCAGTGGAGTTAGTAGTCACCCACTCCTTTTTGAGTCAATTTCTGTCCCCACTCCATTAACCCCCTAATTAATTAACCTAAATGGTCTTACTTTGGGTCTAATCCATATTTAGTCAGATCAAGTAATCAGAAATCCGACAGAATTAATTAAGTTAAAAATACAGGTTCTTAATTAATCATGAAGAAAGACTAAAAGTAAAAGGAACAAAACGAATTATTCGGTTTCAACAATTGTTCGTTCGTACTCATACGTTGTCTTCTCGATTGTTCGGTTTCAACAATTGATTATTGAATGTTTAATGACTAATTAGAGACATAATTCCGATTAAGCTCATAACAATGTAAGGAAAAAAGAGTGGAAATTTTAAAAATGTAATTTTTATTAAATTAATTATTGAAACAAACAAAAATAAACAAAACAAAACAAACGATGGGTGGTGGTGGTGCATCGTAGTAGGTAAAAAAAAAAAGAACAACATTGAACCGAAGTCTACGCGAATACGGTGTCGTATTCAAACAAAGACCTTATTCTTTGTAGACTTCAGACAGAGTTCCGTTGACTTTTTCCTCCCCCACCCCACTTCCTGTCTCTTCATTGTCTTTTTTTTTTTCTTTCCTAAACCGAAACCACAAACGGCCGTTATCACGGCTTCGTAACGGAGGGAGTGTCTTTAACGGCAGACGATGACGACCCCTCACCCACGCCGTTACCGTTACCCATCGCCGGCGCCGTAGTGTTCGTGGACTGCACGGTCATGACGGAGACGTTGGGGGAGGAGGGTCCACCACCTTCGCCGGTGAGAAGTGGGTTGCGGGAGTGGCACGTGGCGGTGGAAATGGCGGTGGCTAAGGAGATGGGCATGAGGCAGAGACCTTTGCCTTGGAGGTATTGCATGGCAGAGCCCATGTCTTCCTCCATGAGTTTTGCCACTTGGTGTTCCGTCATCGTCAGGCTGTCTCTGCCGCCGGAGTTCGCCGCCGTGGAGCCGCCGGGCGGAGCCCTTTCTCCGCCGGAACCCTAAATGACAAAAAGGGAAAGAAACCGTAAGCAAGCGTGCGATGATGTCTCGATCATGTTTGGTTTCTTTGTAGGAGAGAGAATGAGTGAAAGTTTGGCACGCGTGCTCTCTCAGTCTCTCTCTCTCTTGTTTTTTTGTTGTTGTTTATTTCAATTTTTGTATATTGTTTTTTGTCGTTTTGCTATAGCTGTTTTTAGAAAATATAATAATAAGCCAATCTCATTAGGAGCATTGGGTTTTGTTTTATTTTGTTTTATTCTGTCCCTTCATTGGACCAAATCTTATTGTAGATATTTGGCTAATCACTTATCTTACGTATTTTAAATAATGATTTGAATGGAAATTAGCTTTAATCTCTTTCTTATTGGTTTATTCATCTCATCATCATCATCATCATCATCATCATCATCATCATCATCATGATTCATGTTTAAAGAAAGGTGAAAAGCTAGCTACTTTCTTTCTTTATTTATCCACAATATTAATCTTGATCATATGTGAAATCTTGAAATTATTTATATCCATTTTAAAACTAATATTATCTAAGATATTTAATATAAGAGAATATATTTTTTGGATAGATTTAAAAAAAAAAATATAAATAAGAAATGGAAAGTACCTCAGAGATATGAGAAGGCACAGAAGCAGCACCACCCAGCCTGCTCATGCTGAGTACCTGCACCCAATTTAATTTACAATAAAAGCAAAATTAAGTACAACTCCTCGTTTATTATTTAAATAAAAACCATATATTATACTATATTTATAGACAACTCACACATGATATGTACATACATACATGCATATATGTATCATAAACAGAATATATAGAAACAAAAAAAAATTAAAAAACGGGACAGGGAGCATAAGGAATTTTAGCTGCAGAGGGCTGTATTTGATTAATCGATATGATATTGTAATGTCAACTTTAAAGGCAAAAGAATCTTCTATCGTTATTCTTTTATTATTTATATATATATATATATAAATATATAACATAATATGAGACATAAAACATAACTATAGCATAAATAACTAAAAGATATATTTATATATATATATATATATAATAATAATAATAGCTATAGAGAGAGAGAGACCTTGACTTGGAGCTGTAAGAACTTGACATAATCGATAATCTCATCGAGCATGGATGCCTTATCTGTCTGTCGTTATAATTAATACACAAACCCATTAGATCTTTGCATCCATCTCTTCCCTTTTTTTTATATAACATTATTGTTACATAATCAATCAATGTTTTAATCATTTCATAATCTAAAACGTCCAATATCCATTAGAATATTCGTATATATGTTATATCTAAAATATTCGTATATATGAAATCGGTAACGTGAGCCATTTAAGGTAATTATGAAAAATTATAACAAATAATCAAATTCAGATAATCCAAAGAATAAGAAACTGAAACTGAAAAAAAAAAACACCTTGTTGCCGTTAGGGACAAGTTCCTGAAGAGCTTTCATCCTCTCCGCTATTCTCTCTCTCCGTAACTGTCCAGAAAGATTTTAAAGTTTTTTTTTTCAATCCTCTTCTCATTTTTTCCCGAGAATTTTACACGATTTTCTCGGCAACCAAACACGATTAAATATATTATAAAAAAACGAACTTAATTAATAAAAGAGAGTTATACCCGTTCGGCGATACTGTGTGGATCAGTGGCTTTTCCTCTCCCAGCTCTGACTTTGGGCTTCGGACCGATAGACTTAGGGGTAGAG